TGTCCTGATAACTGAACTAATTAATCCATCTAGGGTTTGTTTTTCAGTTTTATAGTATTTGACTAGTCTAAGTCATGATTTTGAATTTGTACATACAGTGAAAATAAGAGACGGTCAGTTAAATTGATTCATTGTCAGTTAAATTGATTCACTGTATCTCCCTACTGTGCAAATATAATGGGAATATACAAGGTCATTAAGATTTCACTATATAGAATTTAAAACCTTAATTCAAATACATATGTTTTGGCATCTTTTGTTTTAAAAAAATAAATGGAGGCAATAATTTAGAGTCAGACTTGGGGAACTAATTCAACTAAGTATTAGTTTCTTTCCCCAAGAAAATCCTGTTCCACTGATCGTTGCCAGAAGAAAAGGCTTTGGAAGGCAAAAGAATTTCCCTCTCTAAAATCCATCCCATGGAGCATTCATTCCCTTTCTCTGTGTCAGGAGAGGTGATTCCTCTGTGCTTCTCTGTAAATAGGAGGGGGTAGAGCAGAAGTTTCTGGGAAAGTGCCCGTTCCTGTTCTAAAGAGAACCGCTTGGAAACAACTTAGAAAAAGGCTCTTTTCTTTGAGTCTGACAAAAGGCCATCTGCGAATAGCAGGGTCTTATTACTTTCTTCAGAGACAACATACTTCTATAAAACCCTGATTTTACCTCTTCCCCTTTCTTATGTAGACATTTTGGTTTTATAAATTGAATAGGAAATATATGGAATTGCACATGAAATAATGTGATTATAATGTTCTAGTGGTTAAGGCATCAGGCTAGAAACAGGAGACTGACTTCTAGCTAAATGATCAATATTGAATTTATAAAGTCTTCCTAAGGACCAGCTTATTGTTTTGCATTACATGTACATTCCTTTAAAGTGTTATTAATAAAGTCACTTACCTTTCAAAGAAAAAAGACCACAATCATCTGAGATCCAAATTAGGATCATGATCTATAGAGGAAGTGATATATAACTAAATGACCTATTTTGAACAATATCTTATTATGAAAAAGATATGAAAAAGCAGTGACGTGCAGTGAGGTTTGTGGCTGGTGAGGCAAAAGGGCAAAAGCCGCCCTATGTCGGACACAGCAGCAGGGCTTTCAGACGCCCCGGCGCTGTGTCTGCCATAGAGGCGGGGCGCCTCTAAGTCGGACACAGCAGTGGGGCTTTCGGATGCTTTCAGAAGCCCCGGTGCTGTGTCCACCATAGAGGTGGGACGCCTCTGTCGGACACAGGGGTGGGGCTTTCAGACGCTTTCAGAAGCCCCGGCGCTGTGTCCACCATAGAGGCCGGACGCCTCTATGTCAGACACAGCGGCAGGGCGGCTTTTGCCTCTAGCGCCGGGGCGGCAGGGCAGCTCGAAAGTGGGCAAAAGCCACCCTGCTGCCCCGGCGCTAGAGGCAAAAGCCCCCTGCCGCTATGTCCGCCATAGAGGCGTCCCACCTCTATGGCGGATACAGTGGCAGGGCTTTTGGATGCCCTGGCGCTGTGTCCGCCATAGAGGCATGACGCCTCTATGGCGGACACAGTGGCAGGGCTTTTGAACACCCCAGCGCTGTGTCTGCCATAGAGGCAGGATGCCTCTATGTCAGACACAGTGGCAGGGCGGCTTTTGCCTCTACGCCGGGGGGCAGGATGGCTTCTGGCACTAGAGGCAAAAGCCGCCCTGCCTCTGTGGCCGACATAGAGGCGTCCTGCCTCTATGGCAGACACAGCGCCAGGGCGTTCAAAAGCTCTGCCACTGTGTCTGACATAGAGGCGTCCTGCTATGTCCAAAAGCCCTGCCACTGTGTCCAAAAGCCCTGCCTCTATGTCCAAAAGCCCTGCCACTATGTCCAAAAGCCCTGCCGCTATGTCTGACATAAAAAAAGTGTCAGCCTGCGCGCCAGCAGAGGTGGGTAAACCCCCCCACACACAAATTACTTACAATAATACAACTACTTACAAATTACAATCCCTCCGACCCACATACCTTTTCCAGCTGTTTCACAGAGGATTTCAACTCTGCTCTTGTCTGCCATGATGAAAATGTAAAAATGTAAAAGGAAAAAGGCAAGAGTTGCTGAGGTCAGACTGTGTTAGCTGCTGCCAGAGTCCCCAATGGATGCTTAACTGTTAAAAAAAACTCTAAAAAAAACACCCTCTACCAGGAGGAGTGCGAGAGAACCAAGTGCCTCATCTACATAAGGAATTTTTCGGCTTTTAACCCCTGCTTAACTCTGCTCGAGTGATCATAAAGATAGACCAAATAAGGCATGTGCTTCTCCTGCCTCCTCCTGTTGAGGGCACTTTTTTAGAGGCTTTTTTAAACAGTTAAACACTAAGCAGAGTCATCCACTGTGACTCTGGCAGCAACTACATCAGCCTTTTTCCTTTTCCTTTTTTTTCTTTTCATGATGACAGTGGTGAGGCCCTGCCTCCCCTGACTGCATGTCACTGTGAAAAAGAATTGTCAAAAGGAAACATTAGCCACTAATATGCTCTCCCTATGTGTACACAGAAACATTTTGTAAGAATCCATCGCTCTATATTTGAACATGCAAAGTATATACATGGTTGACATAGTAACCAATGATCATCAATCTTTTTTTCATTTTTCAGTTTCGCTCAGCTGAATAATTTTCATCCTTTTAGCCAAAGATGGCATGCTGAGTTACAAATATCATTAATAACACATGCATTTGTAGTTTTCATTTTTAATATATTCAAATGTCGAAGTGTTGGTTTCTTTTATTTGTAGTAGTTGTATTGTACTCAGCACTAGTCAGTCTACAGTTGACTTCCCACCTTAAAAAGACTATAAGAACTATGAGAATGCAAGGTGTCTAGAAACAAATCTGTGTAAGGAATAGTTAAAAGAACTGAATATACCTATCTTGCAAGAGACAAATCTAGGATAAATATCGAAAAAGCTGGCATATACAAGAAGGGACCATCTATTCATTATGGAAAATGAGGGCAGGACAATAATCAATGAGATGAAATTAGATGAAAGCAGATTCAAGTTTAACATTAGGAAAGATTTAATACAAAATATGTTTCTACTTATTTCTTGCTAGTTTTCAGTGAACAACTTTTGCTGTCTCTAAACTCTTGGAACTGATGGATGCAATATTACGTTATACACTAAGACATGAATAATGCTGAAAGAGTCAAGTCTTATATGTTTGATGAGATGTTAATCAGAAATGGAACCAGAAATAGGAGAGATAGATTGTTTAGTATCAATAGTTGAAGAGGAAGAATATACTTTTCATTCTAAAAGTGGGGGAACATTTCCTTGATGAATACATCTGTAGGTATTTGCTGTTACATTAAACTCAATGACAATACTACAAATGATAACGCTACAAATCTTGCTCGTTAAGGACTATTAGAATTATGAACAATAGTAAATTGTCAGGTTTGATAAACTTAGCAGCTAACTTAGACCAAATAATTTCTTAGCCTAAACAAACATGAGGGTCTGGAAGCTTCATTTCTTTTCAGAAAACCCTTTTCCCTGCAGCCCTTCCCTACCCTTTCAGTTAGCCACAGATTGAAGACCTGGAAGATAGACTTCCAGCAGGAAGTAGAAGAAACAAATCAACCTACCAATCATTGTGAGCCAGTCCCTAAAATAGCAAATGAGCATCAGAGGAATAGTCTGGTGAAGTGAGGGAGAACTTCTGAATTTAAAAGTTGGCCTGAAAAATTGCTGACATTTCCTGAGAGAGCTATATGGTAAAACAGGATTCCCTGTTTTCAAATCACTATTCCCCCACACTTTGTGTGTACGTAGAACATAGAATAATAGAGTTGGAAGGGACTTTGAATGTCTTGTAGTCCAACCCTCTGCTCACGCCTAATCCTAATCCTATACCATTTCAGATAAATGATTGTCCAATCTCTTTTTGAAAGCTTCCAGTGATGGAGCACCCACAATTTCTAAAGGCAAGCTGTACCATTGATTGATTGCTCTTACCATCAGGAAACTTCTCCTTAGTTATAGGTTGTTTGTCCCCTTAATTTCTAATCCATCCATTGTTTCTTGTCTTTTGGTGTTTTGGAAAATAGTTTGACCCCCTCATCTTTAGCTGAAGGATGCTTGCAAATTGAGATAGGTGGCTCTTTACCCAATACATTTCTAGTCCCATAAACCTGATCAATCTGTTTGGAGACCTGAACAGGTAAAGAATCATCTTTTCCACCAAGTAAATTTAGTATTAATTAATAAGTAGCAGATGTGGGGAGAGTTGCACTCTGAATTGGTGTGAGAGAGATGGCTTTCTGTGCCCTGTTTCATTGTGCCAGATTTATCTCTCCTGTTGTAGTCCGCGTCAGCTCAAGCTGATCCAGATGTTTGTTTGGGGGTTCAGTTTCAGAAACATAGGAAGAATATGGGAAAGGGCAGCTGGAAAGAATCCAACTGCTAACCCAAAACCAGAATGGAAAACAGTATAGCAGCCGAAGCCTAGAATGGCCAGTATAAATACGTAGACTTCAACTATTGCCCATGTCACCAACTACATTGTTAATGTGGCAAAATATATATTAATAAAAGAGGGAAAACACTATTTTAAAACAAGCAGTTAAAAATGACTCTAAGCTCTCTTTGTTGTGTGCTGAAGATAAGATGGAGACAAAGTCATAGGGACATGTTGAATAACCAAACCAGCAGAATGTGTTTGTCCTGCGTTTAGAGGGTGCTCTTAGTTTAATGGGGCTTACTCTTAAGGAAATAGACATGGACCCTTAAAAACAAAAAGAAAAAAAACAGATGGCACTAAAATGGTTTCTGTTCACGTATTATTTGTTATGTGTGTGATTGCAAAGTAAAAGAGGATGTGTATGTATGCATTCAAAACTGATGATTTTAACATGACTTTGATTATGAATGAGTTTTTGATCTTGCCTTTATCGGGTTCATGGACAGAATGCAACTGAGACTTTCTCAGTTGTTTTTAAATTCTTTTTTTCCCTTTAAATGTGACAGTAATTTTTCCTTTTACATTTTTAGGTAAATCTGAACATTCACATTTTTCTGAAACAAAGGTAAGAATTTATATGAAACATAAGCTGTTAGTAGCAGTCTGTAACACTGACATGAGGCAGAGAGTTCTTCCTCCCTCCCTCCCTCCATCCATCCATCCCTATTAAGGCAGAAAAGCACAGTTTGAACACAAATCTTTTACTGGATCAATTCAGAAAGTTAAATGTTTCATAAGACTTCCAATATGCTTTGGGGTCAACAGCAAACCAGTCATACAATTTGCTAAACACTGGATACTATATACACCAGTTGAAATTCTGGAGAGCAAACAGAAGTATGAATGATGATTTTGCTTAGAGCTCCATTGTTCTACTTCAGGGACATTTTTAATAACATTGATTTACAATTGCAATCTGACCCAATGTGATTAGCTGTAATGAATACAGCTAAAGCCAGGAAGTTGTACAAGGAGTTCTTGTTTAACAACAGTATTTGAGACTAACAAATCCATCGCTAAGTGTTGCAGTCATAAAGCATGACATTACATAATTGTGTTGACTTACAAAGGCAGTTGCTGTTGCCATTGTTAAGTAAATCCCAGGTGTTCATTAAGTACAGTGATCACCATTCCTGTTGACTTCCCCAATGCCTTTGCTTATTGGAAGTGAAGATCACAAATGGCAATCATGTGGCTGCCAGACTCTGCAACCATCATAATTGGTCAACAGCTGCCAAGTGCCCAAAATCACAATTACATAATTATTGTACACTATGATGTTCACTACAATAAGGACCAATCCTACTTCTTTTTCAATGATGTTACCTAGTTTTATTTTTCTTTGTATTTTATACATTGATAAAACAATAAAAGATTGTTTGTATTGTATTCAATGCTGTCATAACTTTGAATAGCCCTGAACGAATAGTATATGTTTTGGATTAAAACATTATTTTAAAATAAATGTTAATAGTTATTTTAAAATATGGTAAAAGTATGATCAAATATGGACTCTATGCTATACAGTCAGCACAGGTGTTCTGTTAAGATTTTAAATATTGGGTGTATATATGTGTATATTTTAATTCAAGTAATGCCAATATTTTTGCTCTAAATTTTTAAGGGAAGGAAGATGTTTTCTTCTACTATTGTAGTAGCTATATTTTATTTATTTATTTATTTATTTATTTATTATTAATTAATTAATTGTGTATGCTGCCCATCTCACTATCAAACAACTAGGGTGGCTTACCACACACAAAAAAAGAATATGTAAACATGTTAAAATATTAAAATTAACAAGAAATTTGCTAAACTAGTATATGAATGGGATGAGGTGGGATGTTCTTAATCCAATAGCCAACTCCAGTGTGCAATACCCCCATCACGGCCGTACACCAATCAACACAATCAGGTTTTAGGCCCTCCCAGAGGCCGGGAAGGTGCGGGTAGATCTCATCTCCAATGGTACAGTGTTCTAAATGGCAGTAGCCATAGCAGAAAAGCCTCTTACCCGAGATCCTGCCAGCTGAAATTTCTTGGCCAATGGGATCTGCAGCATGTCCTTCTGCCAGAGTGAGTGAGGCAGTCTAATCCCTTTGGAGTGAGATTGTTCCTCAGGTAGAGGAACCATTTGTTTGATTGCTGCTAGCTCCCTATGTTAATTTGTTCAGCTAGTCTTTAATTTAGGGTTTAGCCTTGGAATATACTGCTCTTTGGCTACATACATGCCTATAATATGCAACTAGGTCAGGGGTATCAAACTCAATTTCATTGAGGGCCACATCAAGGCTGTAGTTGACTTCAGGGGCTGGCTGGGTATGACTGACTTGGTGTGTGGCCAACTAGGTGGGCATGGCCAGCTTAACACCACTCTCCAAACTGCTGCCATGTTTTCTCTTCAACTTGGTAGACCAGGCCGAAGCCATGTTGGCCCAATGTTTCCTCTTAGCATTGAGTAGACCAGATCGATGCGGGCCAGCCCCTTACATTTCCCAGGATGGCCCCGCATGTTAGATCTGACCACATCACGGGCATTGCAGGCCTTGAGTTTGACACCCCTGAACTAGGTAAATAGTCCATGTTTATCCCAAAATATATCAAAAGTAGATTCAATGGATTTATTATCTGTACTTATTACTGAATTTAGATTTCAGTCAGGTTCACTAGAAATATTATGAGTTAAGGTACAAGAACAAATAGATATTTGTAAGTCACCCAGATTGATATTAACATTAGACAGTTAAACAAACAAAAGACTGCATTTTTTCCTGAGCTCACTTCTCTAAAACTTATCAATTCATCCAGTGGGACTACTTTCACTGATCTCATTTAATCTGATCTTGGTGAAAATCTATATCAAAAATTAGTTGCATACAAAAAGATATGCTCCCAATTAGTTAAAACATCCATATTGACATTTGCCCTAGTCAGAATCTGACATGACTTTTAAAAATGTCACAATACTTTGCAGTCATGCAGATGTAATACTTTATTCATACATTACGTTTACTGTAACTGTAGAAACAGTACAGCTGGCCTAGCTAGCTATTTGTTGTAGTTTTGAAATGTGCAGCAATCAGCAATCTAAATACCTTTATTATTTGTGTTATCCAATACTGACTAATTCATATCACAGTGAACTAATTCAGTCATCTAAAAGATTACCGGTTTACTCAAATAGCCAAAATGTTCTTTTCTCTGTAGTTGACATTGAACAATACAAGGTACAATGAACTTGATACAAGAGGAGACACTTTAAAATATCTACCTGCATGTTCTCTAATTTGTTAATATTTATAAAGCTCCAATTAAATATTAAAAAGTACTGTTTCTGTTATAATTGTATAGGTAATAGACTTTCAGAGTGCAATTCATGAAAGGTTAATTGTGAAGCTACAATTTTAAATATATTTGGTTTCTTTGTTTGTTGAGGGAGTTCACATATCCAAATAGGAAAATTAACAAACCTTCTATTTGAAGAGTGAAACAGTTTTCTCTGACCTGTACATAATGTTCTCAAGAATGTTGAAGAAAAGTCATGTGCTAGTAAAGGGAACAATGTATGTACTTAAATAACTGCTTTCATTTTTTAGTTTAGAGTGTTCTAAACTATTATTAGAGGAATGTAATATTTTATATGGAATATTATGATAGTGTTGATTAGAACTTAAATAAAATGGATAGTGTAATCATCTATTTGCCAATTTAGAAATAATCTCTAGAAATAATCATAATTATGTCATAATCCATTTAGTTTGGATTAATATGTTTCGGAAGTTTGTAAATCAGAATATAAAGTGGCACCAAAATTTCTAACATGGCAGGATTAAACATAATTTGCTATGATTGCTATGATGATTTTTGAACTTTTTTTAAAAAAAAACCTGAAGGAATAAATAGCCCTGAGAAAATTTAGAGAAGCAAGAATTTTGGCCCAAAACAGCTTTTTTACTGTTTACAAGGAAAAACATGCATTGAGGCTTTGTTATTTTATTTATGAATATGAGAACTTCAGGGAAAGAACCAAGCCTATGGACAATGCTGTATTATATTGTTTAAGTGTGGGAGAATGGTATGCATAATTTTGTATTACAGCATGAAACGTGAAAATAAAAGACCCTAATATAATTAAAAGGTCTGTTTTTAATACTTGTTTATTAAATATATAACAAAGCGAGAAAGAACCCGCCCTTATATTAGCTTTCTAATTATCTGCATTAAAGTCAGTTATCTTTATTAAACTAACTGAAGTCTATTATTTAAATTTCAGTCCCTTTCAAACATGAAAGCACTAGGAGGGGTAGCTATGAAAAAGAGATTTAGAGAGATGTTTGTCCCATTTCCCTTGTATCAGTTCTCATTTCTGTCCTACATTTTCCTCTTGGAACTTTCCCTTTCATTCCCACTTTTCCTCCCTGAACCTAAATCTGTAAGAGTAGACTCTCTTCCTATATTATGAGGAGTAAGCTTGCTGTTTTCTACTCAACTGAGCTTTGTCATGCCTATTCAGCAGAAGACAGCTGAAACATAGAAAAAGCACAGTTCCACAGGTAGACTTCAAAGGAAGCATGATTGCATAACATTTAAAGTAATCTGGTTACAGCCTGGTTATTCAAAGCAACAAACAAAAATTAAACACATCCATTTTATCCAATTTCAGTACTTTGAAAAGTACAATCAGCAAGATAGTTTGTTGGGTGGGGGGCAAGCTGCATATTAGAAACTAATTAGTTAATGTCTGGATTATATTGTAATATGTATTTTCCTTATAGAATATTGATTTAGTAAGAGTTTTTTTTCTTGTTTACTCATTTAATATAAGCTAGTCTTTTACAATCTGTTGCTTTTCAGATATTTTGGACTTTAAGTTAAATAAAATAGAAGATGCAAACTGACTGTTTATCTAAAACCTGATATAATCTCTTTTCAGGTTATAGAATCACTAGGAATTATTATTTATAAAGCACTGGATTATGGCTTGAAAGAGAATGAAGAGCGAGAGCTAAGCCCTCCCTTGGAGCAACTGATTGATCATATGACTAATACAGTGGACGTAGATGCAACCAAAGATGAAGGTTATGAAGCTCTGGATGAAGCTGCAGATGATGAACATAAAGACAGTATTGAAGTTATACAGTCTTATAGAGATGTCATGAAGGTATAGTTTTAATCTGTTTATTCAATGTTGATATTTAAGAAACAGTTAAATTAAATGACACCTTTTATGCTTAGGCACTGACGTGGTTGTCTAATAAGAATATTAGAGTTTACCTAGATATTATAATGTTTACCCTGTTCACCCAGATACTATATTCTAATTTAAAATATTATTTTCCTCTGATATATACCTTGGCATAAACCTATTTTTTGTTTTACCACATTTCAGTTTTCAAGAGTTTATTGTCTTCCATTACAGTCATTCCAATGCGAAACGTCTTGGGAATTTCATCAGTGCATTGATGTAATATTCTTCCACAACCCACACATTCTTAGCACATTCCATTTTTATATAAACACATACCAGACAGATCTGTTCATTTCAGTTAGATTAAAATCTAAAGGACAATTTTTTTTTTGCAATATGCAAAGTTGGGTACATAAAAAAATATTTTTCTGTAAATAGTCCTTTATTTAGCCTTATTTATTTAGCATTGTAAAGTTACTTTTTAATTCAGCATGAAAGTTTTTTTGTCAAAATACAAAATACAATATTTACATCTTAAGTAGTTATTATCTCTAGATCGTTAGTAACATAGCCTTTGAGTAAACATTGATTCCCGGTGACTTTCTTCCACACTTAATGACCAATTGCTTGGCAACTGTTTAAAGTTAAGACCACCCACCCACCCTCCAAGCTACTTACAATTTGGTTCTAGAGTTCTGACAGCTGCAATCAATGACTGCATTTCAGGCACTTGACAACCAGCTCAATTTTGTGGCCAATTGCAGCATTCCTTGAACCCATGACCACAATTTTTGACATTGTTTGACAGTTTCTGACCTCTGTCTGGGTTCCACAAAAAATAGCCAAGATGAGTATGATTCATGTAATGATTTTGACAATTGTTTAATGACCACAGTGTTCATTGAACAACTGCTGCAAAAATAATAATAAAATCTGATCCAATCACATAGGTCCCTCAACTTACGGCCATCATGACTTAAAACAGAAACAGGCTCCATTGTGGTTTTAAGTCAAAAGTGCCTATAATGTAGGCATGGTTTTCTATTGCCCTCTCTTTGAACATTTCTTTCAACTTTAAAGGCTATTCAGTAGACTAATATCAAACAGATACAATTCTGCTTAGCTTGTTGAGAACCACTTGATTATATACCATCCAATGGATATCTATAATGTACTATGTAGAAGATTTGGGTAAACAAATGTCCAATTTCACCTGATCAAAACAACCTACAATACATTACCATAGGTAACAGCACATAGAATTTGGGTTTGTGTGATATACTTGCTGTCTATATGGCTGTGCCACAATTAGAAAAAAGCAAAATATGTCCATTTATGATAAAGTCACAATTTGCTGCAGTTTTGAATAATGAAGGAAAAAATAAGCGTTGTCTTAACCAATAACATAGCATCATCTGCAAACCTTCCTTTGCATACCTCAAATGTTCCTTATGCTTTTATCCATAAATATATTAAACAACCAAGGAGACACTCTCCCCCAAGCCTACCCAATTTTCAACCATTCACTAAGCATTCCTTTTGGACAGATGGTTTATTTTCATCATATGCTGCACCTACTATGTTCAGCAAACAACCATCAGTTCCATATTTATGCAAAAAATCTGGACTGCAAACTTTTTCCTAGCACAATGACACAAATGCACTTGCAAAATTTTAACTTTAAGAACAATCATAATTTGCTTCCTTGTTTGCTCAAATGATGCCTAATTTCTCTGCAAGAGAATTATAGTTTTTTAAAACCATTATTATATTGCTCGTGGTAGAAGATTTCTGTATGTGTAGTGAGTTTGGATAGCTTTGATGGTTTACAAAAGTATACTCAGATAAAGTAATGATAAATTTTTTTAAAAAATAATTCTAAAAGGTTTGTTTGAAAAGGCACTTTCCCCCCCCCCCATCCTGCTGTAATAAGAAGGTTTGCAGATAGGCAATATGTTCGCCCACTCATGTAAACTCAAGCACTTTTTAATTTTTTATTCTGAAATGCTGCACACCTAAAAAACTGCACAGTATCTAAGTATCTCTGTGTTATCTTTTTCAGGCTAATCTTTCTTGGCGAATGCCAATTATTAAATTCAGGGTTGTTTTTTGTTTTTTGGCGTATTGAAGAAAGCTATGCTATCCTGTACAAGTAGTCCCCGACTTATAACAGTTCACCTAGTGATCGTTTGAAGTTACAACGGCATTGAAAAAAATGACATGACAATTTTTCACACTTATGACCATTGCAGCATCCCCATATCACATGATTTACATTTGAATACTTGACAACTGACTCACATTTATAATGGTTGCAGTATCCCAGGATCATATGATTCCCTTTTGCAATCTTCTAACAAGATTTCCCTTGAGTTCACAACTGTGATATGGCCAAATTTATGGACACTAGAACTAACCTTCCTCATTTCTAAATCACTTTTGGGATTTTATCATCTTCACAGTTAAAGAGAGATTTTCTTTGGAAAAGATAAGCACTTCTCTGGCAACTTTATATTTGGAGCTACATTTAAATTGAAACATGGGAAATTTTTATCAATATTAGCTTGACTCTCAAAAAATTGGAAATTAAAATAACTAAAATATTCATATAATTTTTTTTATTTTATTTTTAAAACACAAAATTGAAAACTTACTTTTTAATGGATCTGGGTTGCGGGATTATAGCCTGAAGCTTCAGACTGGCATTGCTTAATTTGCTTTATCTGATTAGTTGTATTTATAAACAAAGAATTTCCTTTTTTGAAACTTTTTTTTAAATGAACAGAAATGAACTTTTTGCATAAGAAACCTGTCTTGCTTACATATTAATTGTAAAACAAAACCTTAAAGATTGTTTACTACACCTGGGCATTTTACGGCCAGGTGGCCACATCCGGCTCTTTGGCTTTCCTATCCAGCCCTTGGCAGTGGTGGGGCGGTGGGGCTGGGAGTGAGGGTGGAGTGAGGTCAGCAGGGAGGATGGGGAAATGACAGCAGCCTTCCACAACAATCCCAATTTCTCATGTGGCCCATTGGGAAAATTAATTGCCCACCCCTGCTTTAAACCATATTTTAATTTAGTGAAGATCTGGAACTAATTACAAACAATGTACAGTCAAAAACAAATCTGCCAGGCTTTATAACTTGAAGAAGAAATTCTTGAGCTGATACTGATCATGGAAACAGTTTGCTAAGTTCATATTGATCCAAATGTATCTGGAGGAGAAATAATCCTCCCATTGTTTTGGTTTTTTTTCCTACTGCAATTCTCACTAGTCAAGCCTTCAGTACAATTATTATATTAGGATTTATTCTAGATGCACTGGTTTTATTAATGCATATATTCTTGGGCAAAATAGCTCTAGGTATTGCTGGATGATGTATAGTTAAACAACATTTGTTTTTTATTTTCTTGGATGAAGAATAATTCAAGTATGGTTAATTTTTTTTTGTGATACTGAAAAGTGAAATTACATTTCTCTGATATTTAAACTATAAATCGGGCATTCATATTTTCTTTGTAAAACAAAACTCATTATACTATTGTAACATGTTTGCATAGCTTTGCGCTACCCATCTGCCAACCCAATCAGATGCGCCAAATCACTATCAAGCAGTATGTCGCGCACTATTTGCTGAAACAATGGAGTTGTACACATTCTTGGCCAAAATTAAAAGTGCTAGAGAGGTAAGTAATGTACAAATCACTTAGTCATTTGGCTTTTTGCATTTTAAAAATGTCATATATTTATGTTCTTTAGTATTAACACTCCAAAACAATTGTTTTTGTAATTACAAATACTATACTTCTATTTTGTGAATTACATTTGTCATAATTATTTTGATTTCCATGGCACCATATAATTATCTTTTAAATCTGTCAATATTGGTACTGCGCTCTTTTACGATTATATTTATTTGGATTTTAGTTTTTAAATGGATATATTTAATATAAATTCATTTTGTGATTTGAAAGTAGATTCAAGCTTTTCACTTCTCACCATCTTGTTCCTTTACTACTTTCACTATACCTTTCATATCAGTGTGTTAACATATTATCTTCTTTATTGTGTCTGTTAAAAACATTGTTTGGAAGTATCAAAATAAACATGTGATAATTATAATTTTTTAAAATGTGAGTTTAAAATCTTTTAAAACTGACGGTGCTGACATTGTTTCAGATGTCGCTAAATTATAATGCATAATATCCTTTACCACTGACCATGCTGGGTAGAATTAATAGTTATAGTTCAGCAATATCTGTAGGGCACCGATCTTATTGTAAACAATTTTTTTTCTTTTAATTAATAGAATTTAAAGAAAATGCAGGAAATGGACAAAGAAAGAAATGAGGACTCTAGCACTGACCTTGATGAATTAAAAACTGCTGATTGGGTAAGATTACTTTTTTAAAATAAAGTAATGGATTTGTATTACAAACTTATAGACAGACAACACAATCTATATCAAATGATTCTATCAAATGTATTAAAAGATGCATATATCTAAAATCTATAAAATCATGGCTAATATTATATCTGTTCTTTCTCTATAAAGTAAATAATAAAGAATGTATTATTACTGAAGTTAAGAAACATGACTCCAAGATGCTCTATTAATTTCAGGACATGCAACTGATTATTTTATGTGACAATGTAAATAACTGCTTGCTTGTTTATAACCTTTCCTATCCTGCTTACATGCTTACAAAGATATATTGGCTCTGTTAGCTAAAATGGAAATTAGCTGGAAAAAGATAATTGTCTCAATATTCAATAAAATAAACTCTAGCTTATAAAAACTGAGGCATCATTTTGTTTCAGGATACATGTAGAAGTTATAATGAGTATTTAAGTATAAGTATTTAGGTTTAGTAGAGCTTAAAATACAATAATACAAACTTAATCACCTATACACCTTTTATTCTTAACTACTTCAGGCACAGTTTTGGATTCAAGTTATGAGAGATTTGCGAAATGGTGTAAAACTTAAGAAAGTTCAAGAACGTCAGTACAACCCTCTTCCCATAGAATATCAGCTCACTCCGTATGAAATGTTGATGGATGATATTCGATCCAAGCGCTATACTTTAAGAAAGGTTACGGTAAGCTCCGTCAAAATTTTATCATTCTTTGTATAGCCTTAAACTATGTTAGGACTACTAAAAAGGACAAAAAAGAGAAAACTATTTTAGTTAATTTGAAAAACTAATGCCTTCTGGAGGTGTTTTATATTGTTTTGTTTAATTTTTGCCCTTAAAATATTAGAATCTTAGTTAATTTTACAAGCTGTTTTGAAAATCACCTCGACTTCAATAAAAGTGATTATGTTATAGGATCTGCTATTTGGAAGAAAAAGGACCTTATTTCTTTAGGCACAGAAAAACTAGTTGCGTAGATTTTTGTATTGTATCATATTAAATTAACAAAAATTGCTGTTCAGCAGGAACACTACCCTGTTTCCCTGAAAATAAGACCTCCCTGGATAATAAGCCCAATTGGGCTTTTGAGCGCATGCGTTAAAATAAGCCTTCCCCAAAAATATTGCAACACAGCAGCAGCCATGATGTGATCATACTCGCCGCCACCTGCACCTCAAAAATAATAAGACTTCCCTAAAAATAAGGCCAAGTGCTTATTTCAGGGGTCAAAAGAAAATAAGATCCTGTCTTATTTTCGGGGAAACATGGTAGTTTATAAAATTGAAGTTCATTTTATTTCATTGTATGAAAGCTATAAAAATCCTTTACCCAAAAAATTGAATAACTTGTAGGTATCCCTTCCTGTGACCATTGAGCACAGGATACCCCCTAAAGCTAATGCTTTATATAGAGTAATCTAAAGTGCAAAATCCATGAATTCAATTTCCGAAGACCTTTTGAACATCTGGGTAGCTATATTTTACAGGTTTCAGATAATAAAAAACTGGTTACATAGTGCCTGCCTCCCGGTGGTCAATGAGCTGCATTTCAGTTTCCACTGCAATGATGTTTGATCTACAATTCGTTGTCCTTTTGGATTGCATGATACTGATGTGGAAGCAAAATAATAGATATTTTTCTTTCTCTCTTTTAGGTCAATGGGGATATTCCTCCACGATTAAAAAAGAGTGCCCATGAAATTATCTTGGACTTTATCCGGTCTCGACCTCCATTAAATCCTGTATGTAATACAATGGAGAATACAGGGGGGCAAAATTAATGAACACAAGAAATTTTCTATATCTTTTTACTTTAACCATATTCAGCTTTCTTCTACTGCTTTTCTTAGTCTTCCCTAAAATATAGAAAACACAGATTTCTTTTTTTATATAGTTTGTAGCGTCCTTGTGACATCTTTCAAATGCATTTATATAAAATTAATACACATTAGAAATAAAATTTTGAAATAAAATCTCATATATTTTTGCTGTTTTATATCAGCGTCCTTTATGAAACATGCCTTATGCACTATCCATATGCAATATCAATTCGATGTGTCTGCTATAGCTGATATTTCTTTTAGCCTGTTGCTTATGTCATCTATTCTGATATGAGGATCTGTTCCTTATCTGAAAATGTGACTGTGTATGTGTTCCCATTAGGGTGAATCAGATATACATATACCAGAATAACAGAGGAGCAAAATTGGAAGGGAACTTGTAGGTCTTCTAGTCCAACCTCCTGTTCAAACAGGAAACCCTATACGGGTGATGGCTAACCTTTTCTGTCACTGTGTGCCAATCTGTGTGCCAGAAATGGCATGCAGAACCATCCCGCCTGGAACGTGCGGCCTTGCTGGCCTTTGTTTGTGCAAGAGCACTGAAACCCGGAAGAGTAGTATTCTGGCACAGATGTGCGTGTCGGCACCTGAACTTCCTGTTTCTGGTGTGAGTGTGTGCCTGATGAACAGCTGGCCATCGCGCATGCATGCGATGGAAATCCACACGTTTGGATCCCAGCATGTATGTTGAAACGCTGCGCTTCCAGGTTTCAGCGCTCCCGCGTGCGAGGACCAGCTGGCCGGTGCGCGTGCATGCACAGGAACCCGGAAGAGGAGCCAGCAAGGCCATGCGTCCTGGGCGAAATGGCTCTATGTGCCACTTCTGGCACGTGTGTAATAGGTTCTCCACCATCGGCCTATACCATTTTAGACAAATTATTGCCCAATCTCTTCTTAAAACTTCCTCTACAAAGACAAACAAGGTGCTAATTCATAACTCTGGTTCTTTGAGTGGTCATCTATGCCTTGATATAACCTTCCCTTCATCCCTCTCAGGTCTCTTCTTTGATCTGCAAGAAAGAACTTCTTTTTGATATCAGTTCAAGATATTAGGCAGCTAGCCAGAAAACCAAACCTGTAGAATGTGCAGTGGCCAGACAAGGGGTGTTTTTCCCATTTAAAACACATTTAATGCATTGTGAAGAAGAGTTAGAATCTACTTAAACGAATATGCAATGGTTGCTTGAAAAACCAGTTATATTGTAGGCAAGCAATCTATTATTTTTAAATTGTAGCTTAAAAATTTACCATTATCTTATTTCAATAGACATGCAATTCAGATAAAGCCATGTAAATTGATGAGCATTATCAGTATTTTTCTTTGAGTTACATTATTCTTTCCAGGCATCTGCAAGAAAACTGAAGCCAACTCCACCGCGGCCACGTAGCCTCCATGAAAGAATTCTGGAAGAAATAAAATCTGAAAGAAAGCTAAGACCTGTTTCACCTGATGAGATCAGGCGTAGCAGGCTAGGTGAGTACTTTGATTTTGATGAAACCTGGTTCATCTCTCTGGGCTCAGGAACTGAGTGGAATGTGTGTGATTTGTCCTTGGACAATAACCCCCCCCAAAAAAATACCAAGAGGTCTAGGCTAGACTGAGAAGATGAAACAGACCCCCCAAAGAAGGCAATTAAGTTATCAAGAAAATTGTGGTGCATATGTGACAACCATCCACCCTGTTGCACTGTATGACACTGAATGCTGGGTGGCAACAACAGGGACTGAAAACTATCTCTATGCCATGGAAATGCAAATGATCGGGCATCTCCCTTCTTGACCACATCACAAATGATACCATTCGACAGCATTTTGGTGTGGAAGCAATTACAGAGAAGATGAGAGAAGGCCAGCTCCGCTGGTATGGACATGTCCAGAGAACAGCATCTTCCACTGTGGCCAAGACTGCCTACCAACTAGAAATCAATGGCCAGCAACGTCGCAGGTGTCCAAAATAGAGATGGTGAGACACCATCAATAAAGCCATGCAAGCCTTGGGACTGCACTCCAGAGACGCAGCTAACCACACAAAGTGGCGTTCAAGCAAACCCTGCATCTGCGGGAATACGCTAGGAACAAGAAGAAGATATGCGATGAAACCTCTAGGAATCAAGGTCAACTTGAAGAAAACTTTTCCAAGATGTGTTAACCAAGTTCATTTCTAAAATAGTATGTCAGCCATTTCAAGTGCCTGACTGATTAATCTCTGTTGCTGATCATACAAAGAAAAATATAATGAACTGGATAAAATTAAAATATGAACACTTTGAAGGGAGTTTTATTTTCTACTAAAATAAACAAAGGCAGCTGATTTAAAATGTAAAAATTAATTCTCATACAACAGGGATGGGTTCAGGCTGCTTCTACTGTCGGTTTGCTCAGGGATGCGCTGTGTGCATGGACGCACAGTACTAAATGCGTAGTACTAAAAATGCTTCTGCGCATAAGCAAAAAACAAGATAGCGGCGCCTATGGCACTGCGGAGAGAACCAGTTCAGGAGCGTGGCAGGCCAAGTTACTGCCAAGGTGGCGCAGTGGTTAAAATGCAGCACTGCAGGCTACTGCTAGATCAGCAGGTCAGCGGTTCAAATCCCACCGGCTCAGGGTTGACTCAGCCTTCCATCCTTCCGAGGTGGGTAAAATGAGGACCCAGATTGTTGGGGGCAATATGCTGACTCTCTGTAAACCGCTTAGAGAGGCCTGAAAGGCCTATGAAGCGGTATATAAGTCTACTGCTATTGCTATTGCTATTGCTACTACCTACTCGGCCAAACCAGTAGGAACCCACCTCTGGTGTGCAAGCTTTAAGTTTATATCTCATTTTGAAAGGGAATTAGCAATGGATTAGTAAAGTCTTAATGCCAATTCTGTTATCTCTTTATGGAACCTCTGGGGTTAAAAACTTTCTGCCCAATAAGAGTTAGGATTACATAGGATCACCTACAGAAATTATATGTCTTATTTGTAGTCTTTTCAGTTCCACAAGCAGAAAAACAATAAAACAGAACAATAAAATAAAACTGTATGCTTTCCCATATAATTTTAATACCAAAGTATCTATGCAGCACTGGTATAACTTTTATCAGTTTGATTTTAAGAACTACTTATCAGAAACTTGAGATGCGAATAAGATAATAAGAAAACTCTTCCTTACTGCCTTTTCTCAGAACACTTTGCAAATCACTTTTGAAAGGATTGCAACTCAGATTTAAAAGACATGTCTGTGTGTGTAGGAGACAGAGAGGATCCTATGAAATGGGGCCTACCCCCCTCCCCATGTATAAAGTGTCTCATTTTGTAAGGACATTTTTTTTCACATTTGGAAAAAAAATCTCAAAACTTTAGATCTCAAAACTGATTTTCTGTCACATCTCAATTTTTTACATAATTGTAATTTTTAGGGGAAAAGATAAATACCATAGTAGTAGTGCTTATTCATGCTGTTTTTCATGCCTTTTTTAGATGTACCCACATCAGCAGCCTCCCAAAACCTATTAGAAAGCTGTATAGCGAATGGCAGCTTGGAATCCAAAGCAAAGGTAAATGGTCTAGGTACAACAACAAAATTAACGGTGCAGCGGAAGAGACTTTTGAAAGCTCCCACTTTGGCTGAACTGGGTAGCTCAGATTCAGAGGTAAGATGCATAGCAACAATACATTCCTTCAGTTTTAGATTTTTACAGATAGTCCTTGACTTATAATTGATCATTTAGCAACCATTCAAGTTATGACAGACCTCCCCAAAACTACTTACAACCCAGATTTGAAGTTTCAGCAGTTTCCTTCTGCGGTAAAGTGATAGTATTTTGGGCGCTTGCCAGTCAGCCTGCATTTGCAATTGCCATATCCTGCACTCACATGACTTCAATTTATGACCTCTTTTTTTTTATTGGAAAATAATGTTTACTTCTGGTTTCTGGCAAAAAAACACCCATTGTGGACCATAGACTTATTTAACCACCACTGTATTCACTTGCCAAACAATGCATTCACTTGACGATTGCCACATTTGCTTAATTATCACTGCAAAAATGATAATAAAACCAGGGCGTAAATCCAGGCTAAATTACAGTCATAAGTTGAGGACTACCTATAATGGGTTCATTTCCATTTACTGCTTTTATTGGTCACATTGAAACTTGTTTTGCTTTAAAGTATTGCATAGTACATTTGGTAAAAGTACTTTTCAAATCATTTTGAACAAAATGTGGTTTTATCCAATTCATTCTAATGACTACTGTTAAGATTAAAACCAAATTATAAAATTAGAGTGCAAAAGTTTAAAACTCAAAGATCTTTGTGATGTCAAATGCAGATTTGGTCTGTGTGTCACTATCCAATTCTGGCTAGAAGATATTAGGAAAACCATCTATGTGAAATAAATAACCTTGGATTAGGTTGTGTTCCTGATGTTGATAACATTTTGCATTCAGTTGGTCTACTTTGCTATCACTTCACCCTTGATTGTACAAAATCCCAGTATGAATCCTCCTTTAACATAAGTACTATTGATATCTATAGTACACCACTGAATTGCTTTTAATTTATGAGGCTTGCTCATATGGACAAGAAGCTTATAGCTATCAACCTATTGTATGGCCTCTATAATATTTTCTGCTGTTTCAAGAAATAGTGATATTTTGTTTTCTAGAAACATTTTCATTAATATGACCAGGTGATCATGTATAGTTCCATATACTGCATCATTAAACATTATGCTATATTTTTCTGCATATTGTTTATAGTGTTTCCCAATTAAGGAGAAGGGAGACAGCTGATTGCCATATTTTATTATTTCCAGGAGGAGTCTATACCCAAATCAGCCAGCAGTGGTAGTGTTTCTCCCTCCCAGATGGAAGATGTGTTTCTGGAGACCACATCTGGAAAAAAGGGTGAGGTTTCCTGCAACAATAGAAACATTTTGAACCTGGATGGATTAAGAGAGCTATTATTGTGTATATGTGCAATATGCAATATGATATGATATATGATATACGATATATGATATATCCACTGTATATGATGGTACTTTCATTCTAGATGAATGACATAATTACAGGTATCGCTAAAATATTAATTTACAAAATCTGAACATAATTCATCCTTATCAAATTTATAGTGCCTCCAAAATTCTTGCCAATATCATCTACACCACAGCCAGAAAGGAGACAACCACCTCAGAGACGACATTCTATTGAGAAGGAAACGCCAACAAACGTCCGGCAGTTCTTGCCTCCCACAAAACAGAGCTCCAGATCCCTTGTAAGTATTGTAGTAGATCAAATTCATCATTGGTTGAATGGTCAAACAGAGTGGTTCCAGCACTGAGAGAAGAAAATCCATATGTAAAAAAAATGCTGTGAGAAATCCTTAGCTCAAAATTGTAAGACTTTGGAACAGCTCTTGAATTTTATTTCCTGTAAGTTGAAAGTAAAATGTTATGAAATAACTCTGAACTTTTAAATTCAGGATTTGAATGTTGTGCCTAATTGCTGATGTTCTTATTTAAACTTGCTAATAAAATTAATATGTCTCCAACTAAAATGTCTTCTATATGATAACTGAAAATGATTTTTTTGGCTGCTGTTTTTGCATATTTTTAATCTGTTGTTCAAAGCTGAGAAGTTTTTTTGTATTATGTTTAAAGAGCCACCAAATGCCATGTAGTCATATAGTATTATTTAAGGATCAAAAGAAAATACAGCACATTCAATTAGGTGACTTTATCTGAAAGTAGATACCAATAACACAAAGTTGTCCTAAGGGAATGACATGCCTATTTTAGGAGCTAGCAGAATGCCAAAATCTTGTATTTTTATAAGTAATATCATTTTGGGGGTAAAAAGAATTCTTAAAATTGATAAAAGAGTGAAACAATTCAGATTTAGGAAGAGGCGTGTGCTTGGTTTTAATAAAAGCCTTATTATTCTGCATTGGCTCAAGAAGATCTGGTTTGGATGCCAATTTTTTAGCATGCTGAAGTTAACTTGCATTCCATCATTAATTCATAGAGCAGAGCAAAAATCAATTGCATTTTAGCTTGAATTCATTTTCTGATCCTAGATAATTTTAAACTCATTTGTCAGTTCCATATGCAGATTATTTTCTAAGAAATAGCTTTATGTGAATAATAGTTCTTTGAAGTATAGCTATGTAGGCATTCAGAAATATAAAAAAACTTGTATAGCAGTTATTTCTTATGTACTGCATAAAAGTTATTTTTAATGGCGACCCAATTACGGAAAAAATATCATTTCTGAATATCTGATGTTTCTAATAGATATGCTGTGAATTGTGCTTTCTTTTAAAGAAATCATATAATTTTAGAAGTTGTCTGTGGATTTATAAGACCCATCATGTTTTTTTCTTAAATGATCCTAAAAATATTATCAATAGAAAAAGTTAGATTATAAATTGGTTTGTTTTAGCAGAAGTAATACTATTTGACAATTATATTCTTATTTTAGTCCGTGAATAAAAGTAGAGCAAGAACTCTGAATATAATAAAACTTATAACTACCTGTGTTTTTATAAAACAAGTAAGAATGTTTCATAATTGTGGATTGTTAGAAAACAAGCCACATGATAATATAAATTAATTATTTCTGGTATCTTATCTCAAAAAGTACTTTAGACTAAAAAAATATTGATACTTTTTGCCAGGGTTTGTGTGGCATGATCTCAGAAACAATTCTGGACTTTTATTCTGGACTTCTTTCTCTTGTCTGTTCTGAGAGGAACAAGCTAGAAAAGTCCTTCATTCAGCCAACAAAGGATGGCACTGCCATCTACCAGATCCCATTGGGGGTCAAGATTGCTGTAAGAGCTATCAGAGCAGCATCAGTATCACACATGGCATTTGCTTTGCTAAATCAGTTTCTTGGAATGGGGTACAAATAGGGGGAGGGGATAATCAATGTTAATTAAAAATTAAAACTACAGAAGTTCCTGAATAAGAAATAATTTCATATTTTATATCTTGTACTGAAAGGAAAACCCCATATTTCTGTTGTTGTTTGGTCTTATGAGAATGAGACAACTTCTTGTAAGTATTTATTTATTTTAAACATTTTATATATTGGTTTCCTTAAAAACAAGGCAATTATAATATGTTAACAAATTTAAAATAGAATGAATGATCACAAAGCAGCAGAATCTACTCAATCCTCTTAGTGATTTGCCAAAATTCCCACATTCCCAGGAGGCAATGACTGAAATGATTAAAATTTCAGCTTAAATCAATACTTCCTGAAAGAATTTTCTAGTACCCGAACTTACAATGGTTTTAGGCTTGATAGGCCTCTCACCTGCTCACCAAACATGTTATTGTAATATTATGATATTCTGTAACTTTATTTTTTATCAGCTCTTAGTGGTTCCCTACAGATTTCTATTTGGATGTATTTTAGAGCTACAAATATGGAAGAAACTGAACCCTCAATTAAGCACATTTGTATCCTGTCACAATTCTGTAAAGACTCATAGCAAATCACATTATTAAAAACATATTTATCAAAATAATATTGATAAAAATTGAAAATATAAAAAACCCAACATTCAAAAATAGGCAAACCTGGTGCCAGAGCCCAAATATCCAATAAAAAACTTCCAACTTAAAATAGTTTCCAGAAGTCAACTAGAGTTGAGACCAAAATCTGCATAGACAGAATGCAATCTGTTTAAAGTTTTAAAGATCAAATAGCACATTTAACTGGAATAGACATAATTAATATAGTCCTATGCCAGTAATTGTTGTGTTTGTTCAGGGCGATGAATCCTGTTATGCAAAATGGCAATTTAAAAAATTATACTATGCTGTTCAAAAGTAAATATATACCTATTGCATTTATGCTTTCTTCTTAGGAAAATAACTGATATCACATGTATTTTTTGTTTTTAGGAAAAGCCATAAATATCATTTTATAACAATTTATTAATTATAATTGAATAACTCTTTCACTATCAGTACCATTAAAATTATATTTAAGAAAAAATAGAAAATGAATACTACAAGTTTAAGCCTACAGTTTCTCAAAGTGTAAAGAAAATGGCATAGATAAGGTCACATTATCCTATGTTAAATTTAACATCCTCCTTCTTCATTCCTTCCCTCAGGATTGATGGATTGTCACTGTTATCTTCTGGTGAAAGAAATCCCACCTTTAAATAATCTTCATTTCCACTGAAAAGAAAGTTGAATGGGTTCTTCCAGCAGAATTAGCAGGGAGCTTGTGTTATGTCCTACAGTAGTTCTGGTTGTATTGAGCTGACTTCCTAATAAGAAAGAATGAAATGTGAATGCTGGGATTATATTATCTAAAATAGTAGACAACTGTTTTATTTATGTTTAGCATTCCTTTTTCTACTTCCTATCTAATGTTCAGGTTCCAAGGAAGACCCTTTTTTCAACCATACATACAACTTCTCAGCTTAGTTCTCATCCTTTTGAAGCAGCTTTGTTTGGATTGGCCAGAACTGTGTATTATCTATGTGAAAGAGTTTTTAACCAGTGGAAAGCCTCAAAGGTTTGCCTCCTACTGTGAGCTTTGTAAATCTGTCCTAGAAATCTTTCCTTCCCACCAAATGGGAAGAGATTCCTAAGCTGTGGCAAGACATTAATTGTTTAGGATTCACTGGATTCTGATTAAAATTGATTTCGGTGCCTGCAGAACTCTTTTGTGCATGCCTAGATTCACTGATCAATTTCCTTGGAAGTTGAAAATGTCTGGAAAAGATAATCAAACTAGAATGTAACATCAGAAATTTATTAGAGAGGAGTTTTTTACGATCTTAACTTTTTAGAAGTTAAAAAAACAAATATCAAGAGTAGAGAAATAGTTTAGAAAAATTAAGAATGTATTCAAGTTCATAAAATCATACATGTCAATTTGGGCCAAGTTGTCACATTATAAATTAATCTTTAATGTGTATTTACATACAGATAACTGTAAATGCCAAACATTAAATGAAAGCTTAACCAAACTAAGATTTACAAATGGTAAAATTTACAATTAACATTTATGAGTTCATGTCAACATAGTTGAACATTGCTGAACATTTTTACACAAATTACTGCATTTTTCTCAGTGGATTGGACCAAAAATAAACAAATACGTTGGGCGTTATCATTATAAAGTTTTTTTTTATTTCACTATAGTTATTTCACTATAGTCTTTACTTGCAAACTATGAATATATTTATTATGTGTTATTTAATAGAAATTATTCCTCTGTAGTTTACAGTATAATAATAAACTAGTTCAGAGTTGTCTGAGGATTTTTAGCTTGGTAACTACTGTATCCATCCTGCAAACAGCTGCTTGAATTACCTCTAATGAAAAAGAAATATTAGTTCAGCTGCGTCAGGAATGATCTAAGTCTATTATCAATAATACAATAATGTTTTAGAAGAAAAGTCTTAGCAACAGTACTATCCTAATATTCTTTGAGGTTGGAGAACTTTCTAAAGAATTGCTCTCTATTAGTTTTCATTGTAAAATTCTAGTAGTACTTCAAAATGCTTTTAAGATATAGCCAGAGTGGCTGGATAATTGAAGGTTTAAATATAGATTATTCCTATATGAAGGGTTTAGCAGACAGATTTATATGAAGCCACCGGGCATATAGGTCACTCCTGTTTTGAAACAAGAGTGTCTTTATCACGTCTCCTTTCTCTAGTATCCACACAACAAGCACAATTGTTTTTGAATGAATGTTGGGATCAATATGTACATGTGAAGAGGTTGAAGTACAGCCGGGCTTTCAGCAAGAGAACAAACACTCTGGTAACATGCTATTCAAAATAAGCATCAGTGAGGCTATACTGAGAAGACCATGATGAAACATTTTATTCAAGATTTAAAGAACTAAAAATTAGTTAGAAAATATCGCGTCATACTTCATGGTTATAGCTTTACCATTATAACATGAAACATTTCAATTGTCCAGTGTAACATGTAATAAATATTAGCAAAAAATATTAATTTATACTTTAATAATTTATTAGATATAATAAGGCCAGGAGAAAGAGCTGAGTTGATCAGTTTGATAGAAAGCAGCAACTTACTCTCACATGTCCTCTCTGTACTAAACATTTCCAAACATGGCTTCTCATTTTCATACTGGTGTTATATTCACTTAAAGAAGCACTTTTAAAAAAAAAATCATATTTCTAAGACAAAAAGCTATGAATTTATAATTTGATGGTATTTTATGAATGAAAAAAATGAAAAAGCTAGTAATTTCTCAATGATACCACTATTTACATTAATATATTCATACATTATTTATTTGATGGAATATGTACCGTACTTAGTCATGAAAGTTGTTGGACCATGTTGTAGCTTGGGAAGAAACACCATTGGGAAACAGATAAGAAGAGGACAATTCCTATTCCCACAATTTTTCTAATTAATTCTTAAAGGGCATTGGACTTTTAAACGAAGTTATGAAATAAGCAGCAAAAGACAAGTTGTTTAATAATTTAAACCAATCATTTAAATAGTTGAATATAACTACAGTATTTAATAATTATCAGATAGGAGGAAGGACAATGATATTTTTTTGGAGAGGGACTTTCATAGTTTAGTGTCAGTGATTGAGCAAGGCATTCAGATATGGATTGCTTCATACTAAGGCAACAATCCTTAAAATATGTTAGTGGTAAATCATTTTGGATTATGGAATATCAACATTTAATATAAAGAATCCTACCATCATATTCTTTGATTTCTTTCTGGATAATCATATATATCCTAGCAAACCTCAATAGAGTTTTGGAGTCCATGACTAGACACGTGATGGAAATTTAAAACACTAAAGAAATTACTATTTTAAAATAAGTTAGATAATTCTGTCAAAGCAGTAAATAAATAAAACTGAAAGCAAAATATGAAAAATTATAAACACCTATAAAACATGAAGACTTTAGCATGTGGTAGGAGAAAACAGCATTTTCCAGTGTAATACTAAGGTTAATATAGTATAGCAAACAAACCACACTAAATTTTGACTCTGAAGTCACATCATCTTCAGTATGAATAAATTAATGGTAGAAAAGGCACAATTTGTAAGCATCTTGAGCAAGATAAAGTTTGTATTTGAGGTCCATTTTTAGATAGGGAAGACAGCTGTTCTTAAAATATGGTGGCCGTGGTATACTCTCTTTACTAGTTCTGCACTGTAAATTTTTCTGAACTGAAAGACAGAATTATAAGCTCCTTGAAATAGCATCCTATTGTTAGTCTAATTAGTTGGATTTTGCAGCATTATGTTGCATTTATAATATGAATTTGTACCATTTTTCCTAAGAGGTATAAGCAATTGCTTATGAATGAATGTCCTAATACTTCTGCAGACTATTGATTATTCATTTTCCTCTTGCTCCCAACCTGTAGTCTTTCTTTCACAGAGTAAAATAATGTTAGCATATCATTTTATATAACATAGAAACCAAATTATTTGCAACAGATAATTTAGCTAGGGCAAGAATTCTGTCTTTCAACAAAATCTATGGCAAGAATCTATGAAAGAGGGGAATTTGGGATGTGCATTTTTATTCCGTGGTATAACAATTCTGGTGATTTAGTCAACTCAATATTAACCTGTTATGGTGTTTTACTGTTGAAAAAAAGATCTATATACTACTTATAACAAATTGTAATGGATTGATATTCATGCTAACAGCAGGAGTACAAGGTGTACAAATTTGCAACTTTAATTGTTTAAATATTCTATAAAGAAAATTATACATATAATTTTATTGTATTAAAAAATACCACAGAATAAAAATTTCTTCTGGATTGGATTACTAACTGTTTCTTTGGCTTCTCTAGGCATCTTAAGGTATCAAAGACACCATCATAATAATTGGCTTAATAACCATCAAAGGCTTTTTTCAGGGACAACCTCTCTAGCCTGCATATCTGAAGTCTTTGCTATTTTGATGCCTGTGATCATATAAATGTTCTCTGATATTGATGATAAAATCTATTTCTTTTAAAATTACTAACCAGGTGGCTGGCTCTTTACACGGATAGCTGAGAAATTCTCTGAGAAAGACAGCTGATTTTCTTTTTCCTTTCAGGAGGAGTTTTGTTACCCGGTGGAATGCCTGGCTCTCACAGTGGAAGAAGTAATGCATATCCGTCAAGTGCTGGTAAAGGCAGAACTAGAGAAATATCAACAATACAAAGATGTCTATACTGCCCTAAAGAAGGGAAAGGTACAGCTAATTAATTGTGTTGATTTTCCACAGATATGAACAGCGGCGTATGGAAAAGAAATTATCAAACACAGGAAGTTAAAATTTGCAGAGATGAGTTCAAATATTTGTACAAAAGGAAAAGATTAGATCTGTAAATTGACACTTATTCTTCTGAAAATAGAAGAGTGCCTTTTAACAAATGTTCAATAGGGGACACCACAGTGATTTTTGCAGATCTTATCATATCTTGTTCCAAATATCATTCAGCCTTCTGGAGTAGCTTTATATATGAAGCATTGGCCAAGATTCATAGAGGAAAAGAACAAAAATCAGTATATAAATCACCATCTTCATCTTCTCAAACACCAATAGAATTCTGCAGAGCATAAGTTTGAATCCAGTTCTTGAACTCAAAGGTAGTTCTTCTTTGTCAGCATGCTTCCCTATTATGCTGTTAAAATGCTTAATATAGAAGATGATATGTCAGTTAGCAAAGGATTATAAAAACATTTAATGAGTATTTTATAAAGAGTGAGAAAAACTTATTTTAATAAATGTAATTAAAGTGATTAAATTAAGTATACAACTACTTGATTACGCAATGTATCTGCTGAGGTTTGTTTACAGATATTAATAGGCTATCTTATTCCCAATTTTTGTAGCTCTGTTTTTGTTGTCGCACAAGAAGATTTTCTTTCTTCACTTGGTCCTATACTTGTCAGTTTTGTAAAAGGTAAGCACATGGCTGTTATTAAAAATTGCTGAATAATACAATGATAGAAATGAAGTACTTATTAAACCATTTTAAAAGAATTTGTTATTATTGGTTTTGCATATGAAAGGAAGGAGAAAAGATAATTTTTGGAGAGTAAAGAAGAATTTGAACAGATTAAAGGTTTGCACCTTCAGAGATACAAGTTGGAAACCTTTGCAGCTAACAATGCTAATTATGGCGCATGATGTTCATGCCAGCTAATATAAAATGAATAAATAGCAAGATATATCTTTACTCAGAAAATAGATTAACGGTCTTGGTCTTGTAAGCCTGTATACAAACTGCATGCATTTATACTGTACCTGATTGTTATATTGATCTGAACAGTAACCCTCCTCTGAAGTTTTCATAATACACATTTATAATTTGCTTTCTACTTTCTGAAATAATAGTCTGCTGTAATCTCAAGTAAAATCTTTGTCCAGTTTCTAAATTTTCTTAGGAGAAGATAATTTCAGCAGATTTTTGTTTCTTCCATTTCTGGTTTTAGATTGTGAAATATTACCCAAATCTGTGAGCATACTATTTGAAAGATGTTCATTTTGGCTTTTGAGGTTTCTCCTCTTTATTTCCAAAGAGTTTCTACAAGTTAAATCACCTAGTGAGGCAAACTTGGTTTGAACAGGAGAACTAATAGCCCACGTGGGAAGCTGGAGTGGATCTAGAAAGCGCACACGAGCTTCTGTATCCAGTTACAGTCTTCTGGCTTTTTTCTGTGTTTTTTATTCATGCTGAACAATAAAATAATCATGGAAATTAAAAAATACTACATAACTCTTAAAATAGTTTTATAAGAAAAATGCAATATAGACAATTTTACTTTGAACTAAGAAAGCCAATCTTTTTTTATGTTGTAGGCCTGTATGTTCACAATGCTGTAAAAAAGTAAGTTTAAGAAGAACAATCTAAAATCTGTTTATTAAACTGTTTCTATTTGTTTAAATATTTTATTTTTATCTGTTAGTTTTAAATTCTGCCTTTTCTTTTGGAATTCAAGATAGTATATATAGTATTCCGTCTCTAATTTTATCCTTCTCCAATTTTATCCCTAAAACAACATAAGAGGTTTTTTTTTGAATCAGATATTGTTAGGGGTCAAATGTCATGCAATGAAGTTTAATGATGAGTTGTGAATATGAGAGTCTGCACTTGCTTTTGGAATATTATACTTGCAAAATAGCTGAAAGCTTTGTTACAACATTTTACTAAAATTCATAAAGTCAATACAATATTATTGAGAATATATTGGAGCAGGGTACTATAAATGGTATGGCATTTGCAGTTTCAGGGCAATTATATCTCACCATTGTTCCCCTGCTTTTATGATAGATGCGCCTACCATCAAAGCCATATTCCACCCTTCCAATTTTTTCCCTGGGACCTTCTGCTTTACAAAAAGGAGAAAGCTTTATGAGACCTGATAAAACTCCCATCAGCCATCATAGGTCACTAAAGGGCATACCAAGGTAAGTTATGCTTACAATTAATAATGGGGGAGAGAGACGGAGAATCATTTCTTTCTTCTTTCTCCCCTTTCATCTTTCCAAATTAATGGATATTAATGCAACTAACTGAAATTAGAAGTGGAGAAGAAGCTAGAAATACAGAGTTCAAAATGGCTGGATTTAACCAGAGACTATATTCCAGATAAATTCACATCTTGGAATTTCCCCTCCCAATATAGAAGAGGCAATTGGTCAGTCACTTGAAATATTCCCAACACTTCAATTCTAAGACCCCACTCCCACGCCTATCTCCTGCCCAGTCACAGGATCCAGAGTATAGCTATTTCTAAAGGCTGGGAAAGAATTCTAGAAGTTATGGTCTAAATGTTTTCCCTATCTTAAAATAAACAATATTTTAACAAACTCCTAGGCAGATCTCAAAAGGACAGCTCCTCTTCCCATTCCTGTTAACAACTTCCAGAGCAACATTCTGTGAAGTACAACATAACGTTCTGTGAAGAAGGCAGGCAACTAAAGCATCCTTCTTGGAAAGTTTTTGTGCATATATAAACCTATTTGAATCTTGACTTGTATAAATCCCTGTGCCTGACACCATCATCTCATATACATTAAGACTCCTGAGTTCTGCCAGTCCTGTATTTGGAACAGGTAACATTTCTGAAAACACTAGTATGATAGCCTTGGATTACAGTCTGTAATTAGCAACCTAAATTTAAGACTATCATACTATAGTTCCTTATATTATTGGTGCCAACAAAATGACCGTTGTTCCTTCCCTGCACTGTCTAGTAATTTACATCTATCTGACTCATGATGCCTAGAAACCTTTATACCAAATAGACAAGTCATCATGTGATCTATATATCAAGCTCACATAATACCACATATCTATCAGAAACCATCTGTCTGACATTCCATAGGAATCGTCTTAGTAAGGAAATGGGTCTTTCACCCAAGGATTGTTCTCTCCAGTGAGAACATCTGCCTTATTCTTGAAATGGGGTGCTCTTTCCCTCAGTCTCTCATGTAACAAGATTTTTTAGGATGTGGGGCAATGCTACCACATCCCAGTATAATTTGTCTACACATGCTATGGCTATCCAAGCATCTCTACTTCAGCCATCTTGGTCTTGGAACAGGGTTGCTTCCTGGGTGCCATGAGTTAATTGCATTTAATGTAAATTTATCTCTACCAGACAGATAGCCATACTGTTGACACTGTAATAAATTGGGCGGGGGGGGGGGGAACCCTTCCTTGATTGGCTTTCTATCTTCCTTATAGGTGAGTGTGATGTAGCTGTGAGAATCTCAGGTTAAATGAAGAATGTAATATTTTGTATCTCAGCCAGTTTTAAATGTAATTTCATGTTGTAAAATGAAAGAAAATATACTTTTCGTGCACAGCATGATTTAAGATAAAATGCTGTGTATTTAAGACGCCACAAGAATTTCAAAAACTCCAAATGTGTCTGGTAAACTGCAGTAGTAGCTAGTAGCATAACAAGATATGAATTGCTTAATTTATATTCCACAGCTACATCCTATTTTCATTAAATTTGCATTTTTCTTTCTTGAATATATTTACTGAAATACCTTAGCCCTACTTGTCTTCTTTTATAATTCATGTGCTAAATCAGTCTTTTTTTACAAGCAATTTTTTTCCTGGGGATTAAATGTTCTAATTATATAAAATTGGTTATTTTTGTGTTGTTGGGTGACCTTGGGCCAGTCACTCACTCTCAGTCCTGAGAAGGAGGCAGTGACAAACTTCCAAAAAAACATGCCAAGAAAACTGCAGGGACTTGTCCAGGCAGTCACCAGGAGTCAAAAATGACTCAAAGGCAGAAACAAAAAAATTAATACGATGAACATAAGAAATTCAGGTGATTTATTTTATTTCTCCTTTCTCTTTACTCCAAATGTTAAGAACTGGAAAAACTTTAAAAGGTTTCTGAAATTCTTTAGCACAATTGGAAAGACAAATGGTACTAATAATATCAGACCTGTTCTTTTATTTTTAGGTTATCCTCAAAGTCAAAGTCGGTAGATAAGTCAAATGAAGAACCATTTTTTCCAAAAGAACTCATGGAGGACTGGAGCACCATGGAGGTGTGTGTGGACTGCAAGAAGTTCATTTCAGAAATAATCAATTCAAGCCGCCGCAGCCTCTCTCTGGCTAACAAACGAGCCAGATTAAAAAGGAAAACACAGTCATTCTACATGTCATCTCCAGGCACTTCAGAATACTGTCCTTCTGAGAGGACTATCAATGAAATCTGAGTCTTGTGCCTTTCTCTTTATTTACTCTTCATGAGATCCTGAGAAACTCATCAAAACCAGAGCATCATTTTTTTCCCTTTGTTCTACTTGATCATTTACATTTTTATTAGCTTATTGGTTTCCCTGCTCGATATAATGTATAAAAAGAATCAGAAATTGTCCCACCCAGCAGGCCAGCGAATAAGCTTGTTTTACTGGAGGAAAACAACTATACTAGATTGTTGTCTACTTGTATATGTTCAGTGTACAAAGGAAGTCTTTATTTGTATTTTTTGTAATTTATCCCTTAGTTATTTTTAAGATGAGTCTCTATGTATGTATGTGTATATATATGTAGATAGATCTAAAGAAAAACTAGATTATGGTGTTAGTACATTTGTAAACCATATTGGCATTTGCTACCAATTAAATAGTAATCATATTTTGTTAATTTGATGTACGTAGTCCCCTATTGTACAGAACTTGTTTTCTTATAGCACAAGATTAAGAACGATTTGCTAATATGCTGGAAATGGTGAATCAATCCATACCATCTCAGTCTTAGTATACAATACTGAATAAGCTGGAAGCCTGAATGGGTAATTATTTTCCTGCAGCTTCTGCTATACTATAATAAAATTAGTGTGTTCAAAATAATATTTTTTCTCCTATTTGGAATGTACTCTGAATATTAGTGGTAGTGTTACCTGTAGCTTTTATAAATAAACAAAACAAAACCCTTTATAGAGGCAGAATGCAATATAAGTTTAGTTTTTAATATGAATGAATTTTTGTAAATTAGGGTTCTCTGGGTAACAATCCTGAGAAAGTTAAGATAAATATGCATATTTGTTTTATAGAGCAATACGTAAGTACTGCTGTAATTAAGAATATGGAAGCATGTCTATTATTAACCCCATTTTTACAGGGGTAAATATCTTGGCTGTAAAGATTTTTTTCCTGGAAAAATTTGGGATACAATGTGTCTCAGATTAAGAAGTGTTTTTGTTTCCTTGCTTTCAGAAGGTTGGAGAAACACTGAATGTTTTCAAGTTAAAATACTACTGAACATCACATTTTTGCACTGTTTTATAGTCAGATTTTTTTAAACAAAACTGGCACTTAGTATGGAATTGGGTTATTTTTATATATATAGCAGCCCGTTTAAACTGCTTGGAGATCATCTGTGGAATTACTCTGCTATATTTAATGACCTAGCTTATGTTTAGAATCAAAATACAATATATGATAGGGAAAAGTTACATTTTTATATTGTAAAGGGAATGAGTGACACCTAAGTTCCACTTCCAAAACAGGCAAAATTTTCTTATATCAATTACCAACCATATATTTATTTATGAAACATACTGTCAAAATTTATTCTGTCTTCTTAATCCTTGAGCATTAATATTTTGATTTGATTATTCCTTGAATACCCCAAACAGTTTACTGTTACATTATCTAAGTGAAATTATGAATGCTAAATTTAATATCCAAGGATGAAGAATTCATCTATTTTGGGGATGAATATTGGTCTCCCATAGAAACCATCACAACAAATTGTAGATGACAAACATCTTGTGATGAACTAACTATATAAAATGTAACAATAAAAATAAGTCAGCAATCTTTCCAGGAAAGAGGCATGATTATGCAATATCCCAAATAAATATTAAATATATTAGGCAAAATTTTCAGAAATTAAATAGCTAAAATCTCGTGCATAATAAAAGAAATCTTGAAAAATTTGATGATCCTACAAGATCATAGATATTTGAAATTTATTGAAAATTATGTTAGAGTTGTGACAACATGAGTGATTACTGACAAGCTCTAAGGTAATTAGTAATCGTTTCTGTTAATCAGCAAATAATTTATCTTAGGTTCTTTACTCTCTTTAACTTAAAATCTACACACAAATATATCAAGAAAGCAAAGTATTGTTCTATCATCAAGCTGGTAGTCCTTATTACCCTGAGTTACCAGAATCTTTCCGTATTCTTCCAGTGCAGGCTGATCTTCTAGCTGAATCACTTAGTTCTCATTACAAAATAAAAATAGGTTCTTTTTTTCTACAGAAACCATCTTTTGAAATGTAGGCTAGAATACTTTAATAAAATACTACAGGATTTTATTAAATCTTCTTTATCAGCAAATATTTTCCATGGTTTTTTTAAAAAAATGTGTTTTATGTCAGGCCAAGGAGAACACAAAAATTAAGTATTATATAAATATATCAATTTATTTCTAGCAAAGTACTTACAAAATTCTGATATGTGAGATTAACCTGAAATTTTAAGGACAATAATTGGATAGTTGCCTACATATATTTGATGTACTAATGAAATGAATGAATTAAAGATTTTGTATTGGGCTGCACAGGATAAATATAGGTAATCCTCAACTTTACTACCACAATTGGGATTGGAGTTTCCATTGCTAAGCAAGTTAAATGAGATGCTCAATTTTACAATCTTTTTTGCCACAGTTCTTAAATGAACCACTACAGTTAAGGGAATCATGCAGCTGTTAAGCAAATCCAGTCCGTCCCCCCACCCAATTGACTTTGCTTGTTGGAAGTGAGCAGGGCAGGTCACAAATGGTGATCATGTGATCCCAGGACATTGTAACCATCATTAAAATACATGCTGGCTGCCAAGTATCTGGATTTTATTTTGATCATATGACCATGGGATGCTGTGGCAATCAAAAGTGTAAGTCACTTTTTTCAGTGCCTTTGAATAGCCCTACAAAGAATGGTTATAAGTTGAGGTCTATCTGTATTCAGCAGTCATATAGACAATGTTTTACCAATTTGTACTAAAAAAATTGTTTACTCCAAAATTCCATACTTCCAGCTGAAAAATGAATAGACAGTTGCAATATTTTCCATTTTTCTGATCCATGACCACCCTTGTCATAATTACATTATGCTTACATTCACAATATAAATGTCAGAACTGATTTAAATAGTTTATTTCTATGAAGGCAAAGCCTACTTAAGAAGAAATTGTATAAATTAAAATCTATTACTTCCCTTTTCCATTTTTCTTTAGAGCTGGGCTTAAATGTATTTATAAATTATCCCCCAGTGATTGCTTATCAACATATGCTATGTAATTCAAAATCAGCTCCAGTGTAAGGTCCCATAAATTAAAAAACAAATCCATTCGTAGGAACAGTGACTGGAATTTTATTAAACTAAGGCTCTCTTCTCTACCTCAAATTGTTTTGTAATTTAAACCCAAATTAATCCTTTGCCAAAGCACAGACTCTTCCAGCAGTTTGGCTGCTTTGAAGGTTTTCACAGTGCGTCTCTGCATAAGAAAAAGTTTTCAAAATATTTGTCCTGAGCCTTACAGAGAACATGGCAGTATCAACGCAGAAGGGTATTTAGCTTGTACTGGTCGACTTTGTGAAGTGATTGTTTTTTTAATGCTTTGCACAAATGTCCTGTGCCTAATTGGTTTGAGAATATAACAAAGCTGTTCCACAAGCCATGACTGCATGCTTTCAAAAGAAAAGTATACCCCAGGAGGGAAAAATCAAATAGATGACTTGGATTACTGTAGTAATTCTGAAAGCACCTCTGATCATCATGTGATATGTGTCAAAGTTAAATGAACTCGTAAAAACCATTTGCAAGTTACATATTTCTGTTATTTGCATTCCTATGGTTTATATGATTTCCCTTTCCTGTTTCCAAGATCAATTCTTGCCAAAAGTGAAATTTAAAAAAAAGACCATCACTAAACTTAGATCTGGCAACCACCACTTTCCAACCAATAAGAGAATTAGATGAACTCTTGGGTGGGTCAGAATCCTATTCTATCACTCACTAGGAAGGGACGTCAAGCAAATGTCTTTCTGCAGTTCCATGCTATTCACAAGCAAAACATCTGACCTTGTATCACAATGCTGTGATCTGCACTAAGCTTCAAAGTCCATTGGCATGTATAGAATTGTATACTTTTTAAATGCATGAAGATATGAGAAATACGAATTAAAATACAAAGTCACTTTAACTATGGATTGGATACAGAAGTCCTTGATTTGGCTGAATCCATAGGGAAAAGCCACACATACACAGCATAATTCTTTTTGCCAATGTCCATTTCTCAAAATCTGATCTGAAAGACTGGGGAAATCCTAAACCTTTAATGTGATGACACAGAGAGCTGCTATAGAAATTCAGTACTCAGCTTTCCACCAGCAAGAACCCTTTGCTGGAAGCTGCTGCTGGCTGTCAAGAACAATAATTCTTTGCTTGTGCAGAGATGACTCTATATTCAAATTAAAATCATAACATTCACATTTTAGATTTTGTTCCTGACTGAAGACTTTTTTTTTGCTCTCCAGAAATGAAGACATTGCAAAAATCTTTGTAGACATGTATTTGTAGGGAAATTATTGTCCTTTTTTTCTTCATTGACTTTCTTCTACATTTAAATCTTGCTTTCTGAGAGGGCTGTGCTCACTCAGAAAATCATCCAGGCCAAAGGATTATTGCAGAAAGCTGAGTTTACTAGAGCTGGATTTAGAATACTGACTAAAGCAGTGTTTCTCAACCTTGGCAACTTGAAGATGTCTGGACTTCAACTCCCAGAATTCCCCAAGGTTGCCAAGGTTGAGAAACACTGGACTAAAGCTATTGTATGTTACAGTGATATTTTTAAAATGATAAGACTTCATTCCTTGATTATACTCAGAAAGTATTTATTGCTGCAGTGATGACTTTATCTTGCATTATAAATGAGAAAATGGTAGTAATGAAAGAGAAGTTATATAGGCTTCCTCTCTGCCAGTAGGCAATATGTTTGGGGGAAAGAGTCAAAATTGTTTTTTTTATTTTTTCCCTACTATCTTCTACATAGCTGTTTTTTTAAAAAATACAAAACAATACAGTCACCAAAAGTCAGGATGGTTAAAAGGAAAAAAAATCACACACTTGTTTAGTTTTTTTTTTATTGTTCCTGAACCTGCAATGGTATTTGGCAATGATTTGAAAAGGAAGCACAACTGTAAGTTCTTTAATCTACTTTGTTATATCACCATGCTGGCTACCCTGATGGATAAGGATTTGTAAATGAAAAAGGCAATAATTATTTTTCTGCTTGTTTTCCTGTTACTTAATATTCACCTGCAGGTTATGGATTATTAAACTCATAAAAAATGCAAGATTGTTTTTGTTGTCTCACCTTAATACAATTATCATATACACAAACACAAAAATAACATTTTAAAACGTTAAAATCTATAGGACCATTTTTATAAATTATATTTCTGAGAGTGGATTGGCCTGGATAAGGTAAAACTCAAGGGAAATAAGAATTACCCTTGTTGGTCTGAATATATGGTTTCTAGCTTTTAGGGGAAAAAACCCAAGATAATAATTTTGATATCCTTTTATTAGAGTTTTAGATATAAACACCATGTTATGTACTCCCCATTGGTTTAATTTCATACCATGGGTCACACAAAATTAAGGAATATGCACTCCTAACTATTCTTTAATTTAGTGATTCATTCTAGAACATTTGCTACCCCTTGCTAGTGCTTTTTTAGTTTTTATGACTCAGCATATGGTTACCCTGTTCAACAAATGACATAAAAACAGACTGTTTTCCTAAAGAAAACAATACTTTTTTGTCATCTCTAGGCGAGTCATATTAATTTATAATTTCAAAAATTATGGCATTTAACACTTGAGATCAAATGATTTGTCACTTTGAGAACTCCAAATCAAATGACAAAATAATGACTAGAATAGAGTGCCTCAATGTTTTCCCTCACTACAGTAAGGTTATTTGAAAAGTAGTTGCTGCCTTTCATCAATCATGGCAGTTTTCTACTTTAACTAAAAGAATGTAAATGAGAGATGTTGATGTGACTGTCCAAAACAGAAAGCGAACTATAATCCAATAATCAGACTACACATCTCTATTAAAATCAAGATTTCTTTATTCTAGAAACTGGACCCCATTATCAGGGAAGATAGTATTTTTCTATTTTAATTGCCAATCAGGTAGAAAATAAAATTTGCACAGATGTCTCTGGTCATGGCATTCCAAATACTTCTACATCTTTTGAAGATACATAGCTTTGTCTTCATTTACATCGAGGAATTTTTAAATGCAAACAAAAAACACATGCAAATAAGGAAGAGGTTACAAGATCAATTAAGGACCAAATGGATTCAAGGACATTATGAACTAAACATTTGAACATGCAACTAACATTGGCAAATAATGAACCTGAAAAGGCACCTGCATACAGTCACTATTAGTTGCTGGAAGTGGCTACACTTCTTCAGTTAAACTGAAAATACAATCTTAAAGACACTTATTTTCCTTGCCAATTCCCCTTTATCTATTTTACTCTGTTAGAGCATAAGATGGAGTAAGCTGGATATCAGTAACATTTTGCTCTTCCTTTCTCTTAGTGAAGGGCTTTGTTCAGCAGGATTAATAGGAAATTTCCAAATCAGTAAGACAGCAATGCTGCATCCACCATCTTGCACATTTTGACACTATTCCTGCCATTAGTGTTGCTAATTATATTGTAATGCCAACAAATGAGTGAGTAAATGTAAAATAGTGGTATAAATAAATCTATAGACTGGAAAAGCCTTGGCAACAGAAATAATTTAGCAGAGTTGCAGATAGGGAATAGGATTGCAGTTTTCCTATAGTAAAGGCATTCTTCAGTGTGTGTTCCTCTGAAAAAACTCTGGAAATAAAGTAATTGTGTGGCTTACACCTTCCCCTTTTAAAGCTTTGAAATTACTTGGATATACTATTGACTTAAAATGTTTCCTGCTTCTAATTTCTAGAGAAAATATCACAAAACAAGTTTTCATTCCTTAGGGAATTACTCGTAAAAATATAAAAACTTAAATTACATGAAATGTAATAATATGCAAACAAAACTTAGCTTTAAAAATGACTGAAAACTAATTCTATTTCATGAAAGCGTTGTAATATTCAGGTCAATTTTTACTGCATCCTCTCTGAGATATAAAATTACAGGCTCCTGTCATAACTTAAAACAGCTGATCTCCAATTTGTCTTCATTAATAAAACTATTTCTAACAGCATTAACAGTAACAGTTGGAAGGGACCTTAGAGGTGATCTAGTCCAACCCTCTGTTCATGCAGGGGACCTATACTAGGGATTCGAACTGCTGAACTGCCAACCTTTCTGATCGACAAGCTCAGCGTCTTAGCCACTGAGCCACGCAATTCTAATTTGTATTAGAAATTTGGAACCAATATTTGAACTAACTTTATGAAGGTTATTGGCTCCAAAGAGCAATAACTTGAGTTTCACAACATGTCAAAAATACAGTTCTAAGGACAGGATAAACCCAATTCTTAAAGCAGGATGTGAAATACAGACTGGTATAGAAAACCTTTTTGCAACCTTCTAATCCATAATGTGAAATAATAACCTAAACAAGCAAGTTATCCTAAGTGTATGAAAATATATGTACCGGCTTTTTATTTCTAGTATTTCCCTCTGAGGTATTAGTTGGCTTTTCACAAATGATTAGAACAAATCCATTTCAAAATAAATAATGCACTATATATCAGCTGGCAAGAAAATATTCAGATTACTATCTTGTAGCAAAATATCTGCTTCCCTACTTTAGCAGTGCTTTGAATATAAATAAAGAGGTAAATTGTTGGCATTTCTTGTTCAGCCCTCTACAAACAGTGCAAAAATAATACCACAGAAACCTGAAACAAACAATGTAACTCGCCAAGGAGCACTGCTTGGTATATTCTCCAAACAGGCTTCTTTAAAACAAGAGGCCATGCTGCAAAATTAAGGAGATTAATCAGAACATGCCTGTACAGTATATCTCTTCTGGATCAATGTTTTTCAAACTTGATAACTAAGATATGTGGACTTCAACTCCCAGAATTCTGGGAATTGAAGTATACATATCTTAAAGTTGTTCAAATTTGAAAAACATTATTTTGGACTGCATTCCACCCCCACCCCCTCAAATAAATAGCTACAACAGGTTGACAGAATCTCCCTATTTTTGGTATCTGTGTACTTCACCAAAGAACTACAACTACTTAAAAAAATAAATGCTAAGATTCAAGCAGCAAAAAGCAGCACATTCAAAAGTGTACTCACATAGCTCTTTTTATCAAAACACAGCTTGGTATTTATGTAGACTAATCTTCAACCATTCTTTCAGTTTGAAATCCATGCAAATACCTTGACTTTGAGGTCACTGTCCTGAGGGGAATTATGTAATTATATCTTGAATCCATACAAAAACATAAAAATAAGCTTAATTATTATGCGGTGGGTCCCCCAAATGCTTCAGTGTTAAGGAAAAAAAGTGTCCTGTAAAACTGATTATAAATTAACAAACTCATTCTCTCTGCCTGCCTGCCTGCCTATATATGTATATCAAAAAAATAAGGAGTATTTGCCTCAGCAACAATAATGAAAAATTAAATGGAAAAATAAAGATTGTGACAGTTCATCAATCTTCCATTGAAGCAGCTGCCATTGTTGATTTCATACTGTCTCGCGTTGAAGTTAGTTCACCAATCACCCATTCTAAAGCTTCACGCCCCTGTAATGGAAAAAGAAAATGTTATTTGACTGACTGGAAACAATGCTAAGCATGTAAAACTTTCCTCTGGCAGAACCCAAAAAGTGTCAAAAGCAAAGTGATTTGTTTCTGCCTAGATTATGAAAAAACTGCTGTATTAATAGTCCTACTGACCCGATAGGGTTATTGTTTAGATCTCTTTCTCTTAAGAAATGACATTAATTCTAACTTGTTTTGAAATTTTTTAACCTAATGACATGATTTTTTGTAAAAAATGCCCTTGCCAATTAAATTACAAGACTGCATATTAAGAATGGCAATGAATAAATTTCTCAATCCATCAAATCAAATATGAAGTTTCAAACATTTCTAGATGACTGTTAGATTGGATTTACAAATACTTCCAGAACAAAACATATCAATGACCCAAGTTCTAATCAAAAAGTCATGAATTTTTTTTCACAAGCCACAATACTAGAATACTGGAATTACGGTACTCGCCATTACCACACAATGTCAACAAAGAAAATACATTAGAGTATCTTTTTGCTTTTTCTAAATGAGAAAATTCCTTGCTCTGATTTCTTTTTCTCCCTTCCGGAATTGAAATAATAGTTCAAGGGCTAGTCCTAGAAAATAATGCTATGTAAGAATTCTATAGTCCTTGAGGTTATCTCAAAAGCCAGTTTGTCACTCCTCAGACTTCAGGAAAAATTTCTAGCTGTTTCCAACTTTGAGAAATTCCCTAACACCAAAGATTAAAAGAAGACATTACAAATCATGGTGAGGAACACAATGGGCTATGAATCCCAAACTTTTCAACATGTTCACAGTCCTGGAGTTGCTGAAATAAATTTCGTCTAAAATCTTTAATTGACGAAATGGTTTTAAAACTAATACAAAAATCCTAATTTAGGACTATTAAATATTCATATAGCTAGTGCTGTTTTACTAATATTTTTATCTTTGAAGTTAATACAAAAACTTGTACATCAACCTGTTTTAAGGGCACAGGTGGATTATAAATAGCTCAACTAAAGTGCCACTTATAGAAAGTGAGTAACTGCCAATTATGTTCAATAAAATTTTAGACTTTTTAAAGTATCATAAATACTTAGAATCAAATCACCTTAGAGAGCTAAACCTACACCTAAAATCTCATCAACATGAAGTAACAGCATGTCACAAGTACACACAATGAATTAGTTGGCAATAATTTCCTGGCGACAATTTGTCATCAAGCACTAACCATATCCAAGCCTACCTACTCCTTTTTGGAATGTAATCAGGATCAATTACATTCTACCTGTACATATTCAAGCTACCAAGTTTATGATAGTTCTGTAAAAATATGTGAGGTAGGAATAGAAAACTTGATTAGAACTGCTTACCTATATCCCAATTACTATGATGATGGCAAAACCTACCATTCAAATCAGGAATTTTGCTTTTATTAAAAAAAAATAATCACATGGTGCTTACTACTCTGTCTTCATCTGCTAGATTATTGTATTATTTGCATGTACTGTCCCTAAATTACAAAAATGTGAATTCTTAATAGAAGTTAATTATGATGTCAATTGGCAATTTGGCAATTTAATAAATTTATATGCCACCCAATCCCGTAGGACTCTGGGCGGCTTACAGAAACAAAAATAAAAGTTAAAGTTAAAATAAAGAAGAGATACAATTAAAAAAAAACCACACCAAACATTCCATTTAAGTGGGGCTGGACCTTGATCAACAGCCCCAGGCCTGCCGGAACAGCCAGGTTTTTGTGGCTTTTCGGAAGGCCGAGAGAGTGGGAAGGGTCCGGATCTCTACGGGTAGATCGTTCCACAGGGCCGGAGCAGCTACAGAGAAGGCTCTCCCCCGAGGGGCCGCCAGCCGGCATTGTCCGGTCGACAGCACCCGGAGAAGGCCCAACCTGTGAGATCTTATTGGTCTTTGGGAGGTATGTGGCAGGAGGCGGTCTCTCAGATATCCAGGTCCTAAGCCATGTAGGGCTTTAAAAGTAATGATTAGCACCTTGAAGCGCGTTCGGAGACCAATAGGAAGCCAGTGCAGCTCGCGGAGGATGGGTGTAACATGGGTGTATCTAGGTACACCCTATATCGCTCGCGCGGCTGCATTCTGGACCAACTGTAGTCTCCGAACACTTTTCAGGGGCAGCCCCATGTAGAGCGCGATGTGAGGAAAAATGCACCAAGTAAATATAGGAGATACAAGGCTGAGCTTTAAGAACTATCCATACTCCAAGTTTAGGCCTGCAACAAATATAACTGGTCCTGAATTTATGATTAACCCTAGCTGCCATGACTTTTCCCAAAAGAATCTAGAATGAGGCCATTATCTAAATTCAATACTACAATATCTCTTAATAAAAGGCTTTATGGTAGAGATATGACACAAATTGCATAATTATTAAAGAGCATCCAGATCAATTATATATTTTTTCAGGTAGTTTCACATTTTTGCAAAGTATATTCATTGTTAATATTTCCGTATTTTTTGAAGCCAGCAAACATTTTAACAGTTCTAAACCAAACATCTTTAAACTACTATCTATCTGAACATGCTTCAGTCTTCAGTATTGCAGATTGCACAGTTCAGATCTACTTTTAAATTTTCTAGATAAAAATATTTTTAAAAATGATGAAAATTAATCATCAACATAGAAAAATAACATGCTGAAAGAAGACATTCACTGATTGATTGCAAAACACAGCGTAAACCGTTGCATTCTTACAGTGCAAGTCACTTGCAATATATCAACTTTCAGAAATTTTAATTTTAAACATTACTTCAAATCTCTCACGTATGTCAACAAAATTCCAGTTTAAATAAAATTTGGGGGTGTATATTTAAATACATTCTAGGAAGCAAAATAATTTGATTTCAACAACTTCCAATTATACTGAGAAATAAGCAAATGTCTGAATTCCCAAGTTTATGTTGCAATAAACAGTTATCTTTCATTTATAGCAGTTGAAGGAGACACATAAATTACTTTTAATAAATGTAGTTATGGGCAGAGCAATTCTGACAAAGAATTAGTTGGCAATGTACTTCAAAATAGTGTATTAATATACACTGTAAGCAAGCAGATTTGCCAATAGACATGCACCTTTAACATTTATGCACATGATGGTAGTACAAAATTGACACGTTAATGGTTTTTCATTTAAGGGCAACTAAAAAGATATCATGAGCATGTACCATTTTCATACTATATACACACACTCCAAAATCAGTTTTTAAATAATTACAATGTTGCATCATCTTTGTATAAATTTTAATTACCTATACATTAGGATATTAAGCAAAGAAATTAAACTATTCTATTCCAAGATTGATAGAAAAATGTAAAAAGGGCCCTATCTGAATTTATTTCTATAGATAACTGATAATTTTATCAGATTATGTACCTTTGAAAACAAGTTATTCAATTGGAGAAAAAAAAACCTATATTTTATTATGGAAAATAATACTTTATTAGTATGAATTCAAGTAATATCAGTTCATGAGCTGCAATTCATCCAATGAATAGCAACTGTTGTTTATTATGCCACTCATTGTATTCAATCTAGATATAAGCATAATTATAACATAACTAGAAACTTCTAATTTCTCTTTAAGGAGAATTTATATGCAAAAGAGAAAGCTGTTTTAATCTCAAGAATATGCTAATCGATTTAGCTTGAATTAGATGCAAGTGGAACCAAAAGGTTCTGTATGACTGCTCGCTTAAAAAGCACAAAAGCTATCATGTATCTGTAAACAATGAAGATAACAATATCTACTGCATTTATCCAAAGGAAGAAAATGCTGAATTGAAGACAAGGTTCCCCAAGGCTAACAATTTTCAAAATAAGTAGATAGAAAAATATAATTCTGGACAAAATTTTGTGCCCAGGGTTTACATTTAAACCAGGTTCTCACCAGCTGGAAATTTTCAACATTGCCAATAAATATGAGTGTTTTACGGATGTGACGGACAAAAAAAAAATCACATTCCAGAAATAGACAAAACTGGGACTAGTGAATGAATAACTTTCTAAAATTAATAACTGCAATGCAAATAAATCCATTAATTCATCAGCATATATTAAATATTCTGTCATATAAACCACTCTCCAGATGAAGAATCATATTGGAAGGAAGGAAGGAAGGAAGGAAGGAAGGAGGCGGAGATGTGGTCAAGGAAGGAAGGAAGGAGACGGAGATGTGGTCAAGGAAGGAGGCAGCTATTTGTGAAGGGAAGAAAAGAGAGAAGGACTATTTAGATGTCACAAAAGAGTTAATATTCATCAGACAAGTAGCCGTTTCCAAATAAAGCCCAATCTTCAAAATGATAACTTTAATTCCAACCCCCTAATTATTGGAGGAAGCAATCTTGTATTTCTATGGGGCAAATACTGTACATATAGTTTGACTTAGATATATCATGACATGTATGGAATCTGCTACCTTCCCCACTTCTTCCCCACAGCATTGTCAAGAAAGGCAAGGCATGAGATGTAAATAACCTGAGAATTGGCTGCCCCCTCATGAGGAGGATTTGGATAGCATCCCTCTATCTCTGTCAAATTCTAGCAGCTGGAATCCATATACTTAATAGCAATAGCAGTTAGACTTATATACCGCTTCATAGGGCTTTCAGCCCTCTCTAAGCGGTTTACAGAGTCAGCATATTGCCCCCACAGTCTGGGTCCTCATTTTACCCACCTTGGAAGGATGGAAGGCTGAGTCAACCTTGAGCCGGTGAGATTTGAACCGCCGAACTGCAGCTAGCAGTCAGCTGAAGTGGTTGCAGTACTAAACTTAATCTGATAATCAGAGTACACTGATTGTATTTGAACAGCTTTTATCACATGCTGTATTGCAATGTTCTGTTAAGAGATCACCATGCAAAAAAAAATATATGTGGTTATTAAAGTTGATAATGACTTCTTGGCACATAATCAATCAATTAACTAAATACAGTTGGCATCATATTTCTAAGCAGGGGTGTCAAACTTGTAGCCTGTGGGCCAGATGCATCACACGCTGGCCACCCCCGCTTTAGCAAAGGGGGAAAAGTCATGAATACATCATGTGATGACAACGTTTGACACCCCTCTTCTACAGAAATACTGCAGTCAACTGAAACCAATTACTTGACATTACATGTCAAGTAATACATGTTAAGCAACCAAGGATTTGAATGTAACTCTTCATTGAATAGTTATTTCACATGTAGTCTTGCAATGCCCAGACCTGAAATGTAATCCATCTGATTTGACAGGTACTGCTTAATAGAGCTCTTCAATCAATTCAACATAGAAATGTTCAAAAAGAAATTTTCTCTAGTATTCTAATAATATTCTTTTTACACAAAAAGCAACAACAAAGAATATAAAAATAGCTTTAAATTGATCCCCTTGGATTAAGAATCTTCCTATGACAAAGTATTTAGATACCAAAGGAGCCCTGATTCCATAATTAAGGAATTAGGGGCACTGTTCCTCTATATGCAATGTGTGTATATACATATAAAAGCATGCAACTTTTAAAAGGTACATCACCACAACATGCATGTACTTGCTAGAAGCTGAAATGCTATACCAAGATAACAAATGCTGACATTACCACTAGTTAGTACAAAATGCAGCTGTAGAAAGAGACTGCTAGCTTAGAACATTTTCAGAATGTTGAATTGTCCATTCAAGAGCATCCCACCCCTGGAGCAACACAGAAAAAATGTACAACTTGCAGCAAACAGTTATTCAATCATCAAACCTACAATATAAGAGCCTCTTGCAAAATTAAACATTTTTAATTGCATAGCTATAGAAAACAAGAGTACCCAAAAAAACATTTATATGTATAGCAAAGCGGGATTTTGACAGCATATAAACATGCATCCCATCATACTAATAATGAAGAGTCAACTAAGCCCAAGTGTTGTTCGTTTGTTTTTAACATCTACTTGAGATTATGTGTTATCAATTCTTAAAAAATAACCGCCATCTAGACACTTGGTTACAAAATTAAAGTGACCTCAGCTGAATCAGTGAAAAATAGAAAGGCACATTGACTGTTTAGTGGTCTCAGAATTAGGACAGAAAAGAAGAAACTGCAGAAAAACTGCAGGCAAATGACTAGGTCAAGCAATGCAGTGACAATTTTCTAAAACGACAGGTAAATGTAATTGTTTATCACATTTCCCAAAAATCTGTGAACAGCATCTCATCATATGGATCTTTTCCAAAAAACAGACTTTATAGGAGCGAGCTACTTAGTTGACATTTTGCCATTCATTTCTAATTAAATTCTAAAAGACTTAAGAATTACACATCACAGAACCCAAAGTTATATTTCATAGCAAACATTAAGTGCTGCAATTAGGACAAGCCCAAAGTCACAGGGAAAAGAGGGACTTGCAGTTTGTCAGACTTATCAACTTAGGTGAAAATACTACTGACTAATCTCCATATTTATTATTTAAAATTAATTGCACTAGAAATTATTGAAAAAGATGACATGCTTATGATGCTAGCTTTGTCTTACCCACTAACACAGAAGGAGAAACTTGTACCTTTTCAAAACCTTCACTTCCAGAAGCTTAAACCATCATGCCCAACAGAGACCAGCAATAGCTGGAGGTGACAGGTTTATCACCAGTGTCTCAAACATATGGACTGTGTGTATTACACCTTATTTTAAAGGCAGCATCAACCATTTAAAGTAAATATTTTGTAAGCTTTTTTTTTCATGTATCACTAAACAGAGCAGGTATTTGCAATCTGCACTAATCTGTAAAAAGGAGGCAGGCCAATTCTTGACTTCAACTTTCCCTGAAGCAGCAGACTATTCTCAATGGAATGCAGCCATAACAGAAAGTATGCCATGTTTTTCATACTCAACCTAAAAACCAATAGCACTAGCTATTTTGGATACACTTGATGAAAGTTGTCTAATGACAGTTGGAACAGATTCCACATTGTAGTTGCCAGATTATATTTGCAAAGAAACCAGGGGCTGGGAACAAAGAACTATTGGATGGTTCCTGCAAGCTTATAAACTTGAGAAAGACAAGCTTTTGCACACTTTTCTCACGTTATATTCCATGACATTTGGGCAATTTTAATTTTAAATAACTTGTAAATAATTCCCCTCTTCCCAGATTTCTCTCAGGAAGGTGCTCACATCACATCGCATCATGCGGTGGTAACTGCTGCCTTAAACAGTTGCTAATGCATAATATAAACCAAAGACATGAATAGATAAACACCTTTCTTTCTCCTCTCCCCTACTTTCCAGGCTACAAATGACAAGCAGGTGATTGGCTTGCTTCCTCTGTAATCTTATGTCCCTTCAGAAACTCACTGGGTAAGATAATTAGTAATAAGAAATACTATTCTTTAATCTATGTTCAGGAGGCCAACTGTCACATTTCCAATTCAAGTTCAAACTGAATATGTGATTTATATCTCAGCCACATACATTCTACTCTTTTAGCTATAAATATCCATTTTAACAAGCATATACACACAAAGAAATGTATGTGAAAAGAAAACCTAGCACATCATCAGTACATATGCAACACCATCTGAATTTCTGAATCTTAAGCTCTAAATAGTAAGAATGTTCTCTACAAGACCACTGGTTTTCCTGTTCTTAATCTTACTTTTAAAAAATTATATTGAATGTTTAATGTAATGTTTCCCTACCATTCAGCAATTTAGTGGTTTTTCAGATGGGTTGGCTTTGAATTCCAATAGGGGGCCTCAGATATTTCTTTGGCCTATCCTCAAGCCTCTTACCTCATCTTAATGTTTAAAAATAAAATTAGAAGGAAGTTACTACATTGCAAAGCAAAAGAGCAACCTCTTATTTTTTATTTCTAAGAATCCCCTGGATACCATGACTTCCTTTTAAAAATAAAATTGTAGCTGTAGGTCAAAGCTTCTGTGATAAATATGCTCTCTGCAATTTTTAAAAAAGACTGAATATTTTAGGAAGTACAGAGGTTGCCAGAAGCACAAATCATGTGCTACACACATTATGTATTGACCATGTTTTTAAAATGTTGAATGAGGGACTTTCATTCAATTTAACTCTTGTCACTCCAAAACAATTTATACATTGGATTATAATCCAAAATGTCTAGATGGCATCATACTGGAAAACTACTAAATAGTGTTGCATTTTGACTACTCTTTTATTTCTGTTAAAAGGGTTTTAATTGAGGGCATCTTGGATTCCATCTATCCCAAAAGCTAATGACGATTAACAATGTGTACTAATTAAGTCTGTAGGCCTCATTGTAGTAACCGTAATACAATAAGAAGTTTTTATATGCCTACCTTTCTAGCATTGGAGGATATTGTATTGGCCATTAAAGTTTCCAGATAACTACTGAGACTAACACCTTTTACTGTAATAATTGCTTCTTGAGTTAGAAGAGTCCTAGGGAAGGAAAAAATTAAAAAGTTAGACCACAAAGGATTCTTAATTTTCATGCTTTTGTTTAAGAAGAATCAAAACTTACTTTTCAGGATTTTCAGGATGAGGTGTATAAACTAATCGTTCATCCACTGATACAAGATTTGTAAGCGTTATCTTAGAAAAATAAAAACATAAATTAGTTCTTTTATCATTTTTTTTAATTATTATTATTTTTTATTTTTTTTTCCTTCTACAACACCTTAGTCATTATATCAACATTATTATGTCATCATACCTGTACATGTAAATATTATTTCGCTTCTATGTTTATAAACCTTTATACACAGTTCTCTCCTCCCTCCCTCCCTCCCTATATATATTCCAAATTTCATAATATTCCTACTCTTCTTTGTCTTTTAATTTTAGTGTTAATTTGTCCATCTCTGCACAATCCAAAAAATTTTGTATCACTAATTCGTCCGAGGGGATATTATTTTGTTTCCAGCATTGGGCACAATGCTATTCTAGCTGTGGTCAGCACATGTGTTAATAAGTACTTAATTTTCTTTGTACATTTCCCTTTGATTATTCCCAGCAGAAAGAATTCAGGTTTGTATT